TTCTCGCCCTTGACGCGCGCGAGGTGCGGGCCCTGCGAGGCGCTCGAGCGCGTTTTGGACGCGGAGCCGCCGCCGCTGGGCGATTTTTTGGTGGGCGCCATTCTTTTGATGGTCGAGGGAAGGGAGGATGGATGTGGGGAGTGAGCGGGAGGGCGCGTGAAGCAAAATGTGAGGATGATCGTCGTTACGTAAGGGTCACTTTGGTGTGGCCCTCGGCTGATTGGCGCCTGTCCTTGCTTCTCATGTTCATGTCTTACGGTTGTATATAGTGCGCTCTGCACCTCTGCATGATGACCCAAACCAGATACACTTGATCATATGATCATAGGACGAGAAGTCCAGTGCTCCCCGTCGGCCGAGAAGTTGTGCTTATCGACCCGCTCGACGCCGAAGGCTATCGCTCCGCACAGGCCTTCCGTCACCGCCTTGCTTCCGACTCCCATCCTCGCACGATGCTCACAGTCGCCTCCATCCTCGCCGCGCTGGCACTGAGCGCTTCCAGTGCACTCGCGCACGGCAACTACGCTCAAGGCCAGACGGTGCTCAACAACAACCTCGGCGCGCAACGGCCCGACGTGACTCCCACTGCGAGCGGGGAGGCGTGGCTGGAGAAGTACGGGCCTCAGCATGATCTCGGGTATACGGGCCCGCTCTCGTTCTCGCATCTGGAGTACGCGCGGTGTTTGCAGGAGCCCGATACGACGTTCGACGTCGCGATCCTCGGCATGCCGTTTGACACAACCGTACGTCTCTACCACTCCCGTGACCTGAAGGGCCCAACTAATGCTGAACACAGGTCACCTACCGCCCCGGCGCGCGCTTCGGCCCCACCGGCATCCGCATCGGCTCGCGCCGCCAGAACGGCCAACGCGCCTACTCCCTCGCCTGGGGCATGGACCCCTACCAATCCGGCGCCAAGATCATCGACTGCGGCGACGTCCCGCTCAACGCGTACGACAACGCCATCGCGCTGGACCAGATGGAGGTCGCGTACAAGAGTCTATTGGCGCGGCCTGTTGTGCGGAAGGATGGGGAGGGGGATGGGGATGGGGAGGGTGCGGGGGATGTTACGCGGGCGTTGGCGAGGGATGGGGTTGCGCATCCGAGGATCGTTAGTTTGGGAGGGGATCATACTATCGTGCTCCCTATCCTCCGCGCTCTGAACTTCGTATACGGTCCGGTGTCCATCATTCACTTCGACGCTGTGCGTGCTTCCGCGCCACTAGGACCATACGAGATATACTGACTGCGTACAGCACCTCGATACATGGCCGCCAAACTCCTACGTCGCGCAAGGTAGCCTCACGCACGGCACATTTTTCTACAACGCACACCAAGAAGGCCTCATCCGCAACGGGAGCAGCATCCACGCCGGCATTCGTACTAAGATGGCGGTACGTATCTCATGCGAACCTCTTGTTCATAGCGTATCGCAAAGTTAAACCTGTGATGTAGGGTGTGGGTGACATCCAGAACGACGAGGAAGTCGGCTTCAAGATCGTTTCTACGGAGGATATCGACGATATCGGTCTCGACGAAGTGATCAAGCGCTTGAGGGCGCAGGTCGGAGAGAACCCCGTGTACCTGAGGTGCGCCCTACGTGAACATACGCTCGATGTGCAACATTCTGACTGGAGTATAGCCTGGACATCGACGTGATCGATGCCGGACTTGCACCTGCAAGTGAGTGACACGAGAGCTCTTGTGTTATCATTGCGCTGACTGTTTGCCCGTAGCGGGCACACCTGAGGCCGGTGGATGGACAGTCCGCGAGGTGAAACGAATCATCCGCGGACTCGCAGGTCTTAACTTCGTGTACGCTCCTCATTGCCCCTTCCTTCATTCTCCTCTGACAATGCATATGCAGCGGCGCAGACGTCGTCGAAGTCTCCCCAGCATACGACCACGGTGCGCACCTCTCCCTCCTCGCATCTTCAGAGAACATACGCTGACATATGGTGCGAATGTAGCCGATATCACGAGCATCGCCGCAGCCGACATCGTGCACGACTTCCTGTCCATGCTCATGAGCGAGAAGCCGCCAAAGTCGCGCGACGAGCGTAAGCCTTGGGAGGGTCCGGCTCAGAAGCGCGAAGAGCTCTGAGCAGCCGTTGGTGATCGAATGTAGTATGCGTGTAATCTTTGACTTGTTGTATCATCTCAAGGACCAAAAGACGACGTTGCTCTACCATGAACATGTTCGGCAGCCCTTACATCACGGTTGTAACCGCGACATCGCAACATTGGCGGTCCATGGACCTATGCCCACAGTTCCTATGCGATTGCGTCGGCATATGCATGGGGATAAGCGACGAGCATCATTCGACAGATGTACCGTTCCCACCGTCGGCGATCTTCATGAACCGAGGCCAGAGACCGTCTTTTACGGCATCTCTGGTTGTATTCCGGGCAGAGGACCTGACAGGAATACAGCGCTGCTGATTTCTGGTCACAGCGATCGGCAATGTCAGGACTCGAGATGTCTTTCCTGCAACAGATGTAGTATGGACTTGGGCACGACCGGAATGCGACTCCGCGAAGTAAATATCTTCATTACCTGTCGTGCTATCGTCGTGCTCACGTCTCTCACAGAAATGTGCCGTGTTGCAACAACACACTCGTACGATCGGAAGAACCTCACACGATTAAGTTGCCTGCATCGTCATACGAAGCTATATTGCGGTGCGACTTCGACACGGCTAGTGGCACAGCGTATATCCCGCTCCTTTCCGTGGACCACGGACTTCATGTACGCGCATCAAGCCCGGTGTATAACGGCTCATACAACTGACCATCGCAATCAGGGAGACGCGTACAACGATTCAACACCAATGCTTCTCAACCAATCAAGCTCACTCCTGTACAGCGTTGGCCCGGATGCCTGCCCAAACACCCTCTCTCTCAAGTCAAGGCTCCTGGTATATAATGGACCCGCCCCTTCGCCTTTCGGAATACTCAGCATCGCTTCTCTCTTCCTATTCTCGACCTAGCTCATTCACACTTCTAATACATCATGAAGTTCATCGCCGTCGCCGTCCCGCTCTTCCTGTCCGCTTTTGCAACCGCTGCCCCCGAGGCTGCCCAAGAGAAACGTCAACGTGCGCATCCCCTTTACCTCTTTACCTCGCCAATCGACTACTCAGCTGATCATCTTGCTCTGAACGCAGTTGACGGCCTTGGCGGTGACCTGACCGCAGGCATCGGTGGCTTGACGAGTGCCGTCGGCGCCGGGGCTGCTAGCCTCAGTGCTAATGGTGCGTACAGCATGCTGTACTTCTGGATGCGCTAGCACGTACTGACCAGCGCAGGCGAGGGCCTCGGCTTCACCATCCGTGAGTTTTCGCTCTTTCACACAGCGAACCGCACGATCTGACATCGTGTCTCATACAGTCGGCACCGGGCCCAACTCCGTCCTCACGGCCGCGGTCGCCCTGGGCACATCGACCTTTACGCTCGTCACCACGCAAGGCGGCCAGGGCTACACGCTCGGCGCGGGCGGCGCCGACTCCGCCGTCGCGTCTGTCACTGGCGCGGCCGACTCTATAGTCGCGTCCGCCACGGCCGCGGCGATCCCGTCGGGGTTCACGTCCAGCGTCCAGAGCGTCGTCTCGAGCGTCTCCACGGAGAGCGTCGCGAGCGTCCGGTCCACGAGCGCGGGGGGCGCCGCGCCTACGTCGTATGTGCCCGTTCTCGCCGTTGCGGCTGTTTGGTCGGGCTAATTGTGTATGCGCCAGTGGCAGTGACTCCAACTCGAACTCGAACTCAAGCTCGAGTGCGGCGGCCTCGGTGCACCCGTCCAAGCTGATGCTTTATGCTGCTGGCGTAATGGGCTCCATGGTCTTCGGTGCGATGTCGCTTTGAGCGTGTCATTTGCACTCTTCTACTTTTCATGATCCCGCACCCTGCTATATATGACTGTCCTGCGGTCACACTACCACCTCCCTGTCTTTAATGCGCGGCTTCCTTGATTCTTGGACTATATATTGATTGTGCCTCGCGACGTGCTTTACATGTATACGCTCAGTGTTACCTGGCGGGCGGTGTTGTCGTTACTACTGGGTCATGCTCGCGCCGTTGTATACAGTATTGCTTACAGTCACTTGTGCTCCGCCACTTCAGTACCCTCATGGTCGATCTCACGGGTGACAACGTATATGCCTTGTCGGTAGACTGCGAAGTCTCCACGCTACTTCACTAGATCGACTTGTCGGCTGCAAGTTATCTGACGTCCAGCCCATGAAACCTCATTGGGAGATGCAGTAGTCCACAGCGTTCAACGAGGCTCCACCAGACACGACTATTCCTCCGATTCGTCTGTCCTTGCTCACCATACTCTCCCGTGCTTAACTCGCGATTCATCGAGTCTCACTTGACCTTCACACTTGATCGTCACGAAGCCCTGTGCGGTCCCACTTATCTTGTGTTTACCCGTGCTTGCCGACAAACGACAAGGTGTGTAAAGTATGCTCTCGCAGATGTATGTTACCTGATGGAGAGAACCAGTTCTCCTTCCCGGCAGCGGCGGATCTGCTCCTAGCTCTACCAGCACAGCTGCGTCTCCTGTTCGCTCTTCTACCTCGATCCCTGCTGTTTCAGTCTTGCTGTCAGGGCGGACAACTCAACTCAACTCAACTACTGCGGTTCGACCCTCTGCACTTCTTACTACTGCAGTCTGCGTGTATAACGCTTGGTAGTATCTTTTGGGGCTGGCGGTGCTGCGAGAGTACGAAGAAGCGGTTTCCTCAGTGAAAATATATTGTTTACCCAATTTTATCAATTGCCCACTATAATCTTGAGACCCTGCGAGCCAGAGCTAGATTCTTACTAGCCGTGATACATATGGACTGCTTGAACGTGCAAGCAGCGTTGTACTTGCGTTGCTGAACGCGGCACAGCGGACGAAAAGACTGGGAGGACCAGGAAACATGCGCCCCAGACGCGAACAATCACAATCAGTCACGCTGTGACACGGTATCATATGAGACGCTCATCAATGCTGCCCTTGCACCGTGACCGCCACGACCTTCGTCGCCAGACATCTCTCTCCTTCTCCTTCAATGATGTGCGTACTAGGTGTATACACTTGGAAATGAGCTAGTATCGGCATCCTCGGCGATCTGCGTATCTCCTCTTCTCGCGCTGGTCGCTAGCGCTCCGGCGCCGGCCGAGGGTTCGATCAGCGATCGGCGCGTCTGCGTGAGCATGGTTGCCGCGCGCTTAACTCGCGCACGATGACCATCACCGGACCTCGGACTTCGGAAGTCATCTGAATGTCTAGACGGCTGATGCGATACCTCCTTCCGAGTACTTACGGCGAAAGTTAGCAACTTGGTCGTCAAAGTCGCGAATGACCACGGGCACTCAACAGCGGGGACCAGCCAAGGCCATGGCCAGCTTAAGAACGCTTGCCTTGGATCTGAAAGGCGGGAGGTATGCAGACTTATTTTGTGTTGACCTATCCCTATTATCCCTGACCGAGTATGGCGGTTCGCCGTCTGAAGACACGAGGCTTTGCCTAGCTATGAATGTACTGGGAGGCCCTGGCGAACTTGTTGCGACGCGGCTGTAACATAACAGACCCAGCGACATCGCAACATTGACGGTCCATGGACCTATGGCTACAGTGCCTGTGCGATTGCGTCGGCATATGCATGGGGATAAGCGACGAGCATCATTCGACAGCTGTACCGCTCCCACCGTCGGCGATCTTCATGAACCGAGTTCAGAGACCGTCTGTTACGGCATCTTTGGGCAGAGGACCTGACAGAAATTCAGTGCCGCTGATTCCTGGTCCCAGCGATCGGCAATGTCAGGACTCAAGATGTCTTCCCTGCAACAGATGTAGTATGAAGTCGGGCACGACCGGAATGCAACTCCGCGAGGTAAATACCTTCATCGCCTACTGTGTCGTCCCCGTGCTCACGTCTCTCACAGAAATGTGCCGTGCTGCAACAACATACTCGTACGATCGGCAGGGCCTTACACGATAAAGTTGCCTGCATCGGCATACGAAGCTATACGGCGGTGCGACCGTGACGCAGCTGGCGGCACAGCGCATATCCCGCTCCTTTCCGTGGACCACGGACTTCATGTACGCGCATCAAGCCCGGTGTAGAACGGCTCATACAACTGACCATCGCAATCAGGGAGACGCGTACAACGATTCAACTCCAACGCTTCTCGACCGATCAAGCTCGCTCCTGTACAGCGTTGATGCCTGCTCAGACTTCATTTCTTCGAAGTCAAGGCTCTTGGTATATAACGGACCGTCCCCTTCGCTTTTCGGAATACCCAGCATCGCTTCTCCCTTCCTGTTCTCGACCTAGCTCAATCACACTTCTAATCCACTATGAAGTTCATCACCGTCGCCGTCCCGCTCTTCCTCTCCGCTTTTGCAACCGCTGCCCCCGAGGCTGCCCAAGAGAAACGTCAACGTGGGCATCCCCTTTACCTCTTTACCTCGCCAACTACCTACTCAGCTGATCATCTTGCTCTGAACGCAGTTGACGGCCTTGGTGGTGATCTTACCGCAGGCATCGGTGGCCTGACGAGTGCCGTCGGCGCCGGAGCCGCCAGCCTCAGTGCTAATGGTGCGTACAGCGTGCTGTACTCATGGATGCGCTAGCACGTACTGACTAGAACAGGCGAAGGACTTGGCTTCACCATCCGTGAGCTCAACGTCGCCCTTTCACATAGCAAACTGCACGGTCTAACATCGCGTCTCGTACAGTCGGCACCGGGCCCAACTCCGTCCTCACGGCCGCGGTCGCCCTGGGCACCTCGACCTTTACGCTCGTCACTACGCAAGGCGGTCAGGGCTACACGCTTGGCGCGGGCGGATCGGCGGCGGCGTCTGCCACCACCTCACCTACGGGTGGCGCGACTGCTTCGCCCAGCTCGTAAGTACCCGTTATCATCGTCGTATCGTATCCCTCGTGTTTGCTGATCATCTGTGTCAGTGGCGGTGACTCGAGCGCGGCGGTTTCGCTTAACCCGTCCAAGGGTGCACTCTATGTTGCCGGTGCTGTCGCTGGATCCATGGTCCTCGGCGCGATGTCCCTTTAACCGTGCTTTACGAGGTACCATCTTGTATCCGTCTTCGACATGACATCTCGTCTCGCGCGCGTGCAACCCTCCTATTTGACTCATATTCTTCATACAACCTTGCTTTCTCTATTTATATTACGTTCGGCGCCCTTACCAGTACACTGTCACTTCTCCGTCGTGTCTGACCAAAGACATGGACTCCGCTTGATTTTACGACTGGAAGGCCACATGAATGTTGCTTATGCGATGGTGCGAAGAGGAGCCCTCCTCCATGTCACGGTCCGACAACGTGCGTGAACTCTGCGACGCTGAGTCTACCTAGGGGAGACTAGCGTGAACTCCATCGTAGCTGTTACCGTTGTTCTCCGCTGAGAACCCAGCACAGGCGGTGGCATCGGCTTTACCGTTCGTGAGTTGAACCTCGCCCTTTCGCACAGCGAACTGCATGATCTAACCTCGCAACTTGTGCAGTCGGCAACGGGCCCAACTCTGTCCTCACGGCCGCGGTCGCTCTGGGCACCTCGACCTTTACGCTCGTCACCACTCAAGGCGGTCAGGGCTACACGCTCGGCGCGGACGACGCCGGCTCGGTGGTCGCGTCTGCCACTGCCGCGACGATCCCGTCTGGGTTCATGTCTAGCGTTCAGAGCGTTGTCTCTAGCGTCTCCACGGAGAGCGTCGCGAGCGTCTTATCTACGAGCGCGGGAGGCGCTGCGCCTACCTCATATGTACCTGTTCTCGCCGTCGCAGCTGTTCGTTTTGACTGATTGCGTGCGCGCCAGTGGCAATGACTCGAACTCGAACTCAAGTCTAAGTGCGGCGGTCTCGGTGCATTCGTCGAAGTCGATGCTCTATGCGGCTGTGGTTGTCGCAGGCTCCATGGTCTCCGGTGCGATGTCGTTCTAGGCGCACTCGACTATAGTCCTTTTCTATCATATTTTTCGTCATGCCTTCGTGCGCTCCAGTGGCGGTGTCGTCCCGCAGACAGCGTTTCTCCTCATAGACCCTTGCCTTTATCTATACGACGCTCGTGTACACAAACTGTCACTTCTCCGTCATGAATACATATCATTCGGGACACCTCAGTTCCGTAACTCAAATAGTCCAGCATGCAATCAGAAAGACATTCTTTCGCGAGAGGAGTGATTGCTCTTTTGGCACTCTCTATCTCGCAACATCGACGCCGACGCCATGAGACAGTGGCCGTGCTCGTTCGATTGTTCATAATGACGGTCTCACAAGCCCAGCTTCCTTCGGGTACTGTGTGTAACGTCGTGAGAAAAAGCATGATCCCTGCCACGTTGTCCACTCAGAGGCGCGAACAACTTGATTTCGCACCTCCATCTGGCTTGACCGCCAATTAACTTGCTTCTCATATTCTCGGCGCGCATCCTGCGTCCTTCCACATAAGCGATGTGACTTGGTGTCATGTCGTTGCATGTGGTGGTCGCGGGTTGCGTCTGCCAGGCATTCGCCCTTTATGTCGAACTCTAGAATGGCCGCTGGCTTGGTACGACGACGACGTGACTGTCTGCCACCTCGTCGATTGTCTAACGGAGGGAGCGATGCTATAACGCGTGCTGCTCTGTTACATACACTTGACCGCTCGCCTCACCTTCTCATCAGGACAGTTTCGCCCGTTCATGCTTGACGGACTGTGCGAGGGCGTGCTCAGACTGTCGCTGCCTGGAGGCCAGCCTAGGTCTAGGCAACGACTTCTAACTGTGCCGAGACTCTGGCTAGTCCGTACAAGAGAGGTGTTGCGTCTTCAGTTGCTGCTCTCTGACTGTCCCATTCCTATTCTGATAGCAGTAGGTTGTGCACGGACCCTTCGGTCCTTTTCCTTCTGTCTGAACTGGGAATGAGCATCACGACCGATGGCCGGATACTGACGTCTCCTTTCAATGGCAGGCTATGACAGCGATTCCGTCTTGAAATTTGACGCCAGAAGCTTACCCAAAGCTTGGCAATGACAGTGGTCCGGACCCATTCCCCCGCTGAGAGTGATACGGCTTTCAAAGAGTGAGAGTCGATACCTGGGACTCCAGTCGCCGTACGTGAGATCTCTTATGGCCTTTCAATGCGCGAAACTGATGGAATGAAACACGCAGCACTTACTGTCTGCCAGCTTTCATCTCCTTCCGGCGTCCTGCGAGTACAAGTCATCCGATTTCGCAAGAACGCTGTGATGGATGTACTTGACTGCAACCCTTGGTCCAGTTGACGGGCCGATAAGTACATTGCGCTAGGATGAGTGTACATATTTGTTCCCCTTCTCGAACAGCTCTCTTCCTTCGCCAATCCTATGCATACATGTTCCCAATACTACCTCCGAATTGTGTACTCTACCAATTGTATTGATCACCGATCTCGGTCGAGACTTCTTCCATGACTCAAGAGCCTCCCGTCAGCAGGGTCAGCGCTGAGCGCTGAGCGTGAGACCAACTCAGAAGCTTGAGCGCTTGAGCGCGCGTTATTCGCACGGTCCAACTTTGCCGCCGGCGTGTCACCACGCCGCCGCGACGCGTCGCAGTCTCCCGAGCAATACCACCCCTACTGCAGCTCGCTCGACGATCTCTATCCATTCCTGTATACCTGCCGGAATTGGAACGCTCTTCAAGACTACTACAAGACGCATATGCAATATCGGAGTGTGGAGCTGGAGACAATATGGTCGATCACGCATTTCTTGCCCGCAGCAGCGACATGCTCGGTACGAAAGGGCAGCGGAAGCGTAGCGCCGCGATGTCAACTACCGTTGCACCAGTGCTCCCAGCTGCGTGCGAAGAGACTTGAGCGGCGATAGAATCCCCCGACATTCCCATCCCTCTCGACATTTTCTCCGGCACAACCACCTTGATATGCTACGCGACTTATCATTCGAGTCGCCTCCAGGTCAACACTGCTTCGTCACTAGGACTAGAGCGACGCACATACTTCATAAGGCTTTGCGTGCGCTTTGTAGCTGCCTGTATCTACGTCCATGGTGTCCAGGAGGCGGTATTCTACTATCGCAATCAATCAAGACAGTACGTTGGCCGTCCTTCGCACCTGCTTTGGCCTTTCTTACAACGCCGAAACTCTACCTTCGGGTCTAGGTATCTTTGCGTATTCGGCTCGGGAGACGGACGTTGTAAGTCCACGATCCACTTACATGCGCAGCGACGTGTCACGGATGTCAAGCGCGTGGCCTCACGAGGCGACCAGTCAACGTTCAGCGAATATGGGAGCTAATACGATTGCGCGCTACATCATGGTATACGGGCCTTGAGCCCTTACAAGTACATGGAAGACGAGATACCTCAGTGTTGTAGAATGCACCATAACATTATCTCGCGGACGTGGTTACCTAAGCGGACGCTCGAGCTGGCACAATGCGGCTCGTATACCAGAAACACGCAATATCGCTGCGAGTGCTCCCAAGATTGTCGATTAATACTCAAGCTGCACCTTCTGTACGTCTGCTCGGTCCTATACATGTGAAGTTACGGCAAGGATCTAATGACTAGAGATAGTTTTCACTTTCACGATTGCAGGTCCGCCGCACCGGATTCTCAAGCGATACATCACACCCTTTACGGAAGTTTCTTCTCCTTTCTCGAGTGACCACGTCTCCGTTCATCCCGACTGATCCGTTCGATAGATGATCGGTGGTACTGTATGGGCGGCGTGTGGGGCGAATCTGTCAAGTCGGTCCGATAGCCTTGGAAAGTGCGGAGTGGCCGTATACACTGCAGAGAGCGCTGCGAGCAGAAGCTATTGCGTCCGAACGTCCGGGGCTGAGCAGGTATGTCGGAAGAACTGTCATAGGCAAAGAACTCACCTGCACTTGGCGTCATGCGTTGACTGCTTGCACTTGCGCTTCGCTCGACGGCAGTGGTAACAAGACATCCCCGCCTTCGCCGTTCCCTCCGTCCAGTCTCTATGCCCGGCACGTTCGACCCGGTCTCCTTTGGGTTGCTTCGCTACATCCCACGAAGGTTCGCTCTCTGCTACCTGATTGGCGATGTCGTCAATACACTCATAGGGTTGGGACGCAGAACGTCAACGTCACCGAGGTAGTCTCGTCAGTTTGCCGAGGCGATAACGCAGCTCCTTGGTCAAATTCGCCATCGCTCTTCGACATCCCTCTAGCCATAAGCCTACGCCGAGTACAGTGCCGCTAGTGGAGCACCGATATTGAGCTCTTGTGGCAGTCGAGCGAGTCACTGGTGATTGGCAGGGTGGAGATTTCATCGCGATACGTTGTGTCATGTAAACATGGCGCCCCATCCTGCACGTGCTTGCTGCCTCGCGGCATCCTGCGGCATCTCGCGAACGCACGGCAACTCATGGAGAGGAGGATGCGTGTACTTTTTACTTCTGTAGCTTTCGCTCCTCGATGTTGCGACATGTATCAATGCAGGAAAGTAGACATGTCGCTATATCAACGCGTGTGCACTGCGTTTGAGTGAGAAGTTGGTGCGGGGTATTTCGAGAACGTTTGCTCCCCCACGACACCCTGATGCGAGGACCGGGTGGTGCGGGGTATTTGACAAGGCGCTACCCCGCATGCTACCGGAAGGACAGCGAGCCTCGGGATTGACTTGTCAGCGTAAGGGTGAACACGGGGGGCATTGTCTTGGATAACAATAGTACTGCTGTTTGGCTCAAGGCCTTCGCTACCGGGGGCGACAACTAAGGCGGGTTGCGCGTGTGCAGAGCGCTCTCGAATTTGGTCTGCATGACAGCCTTGCGGTATTCAAAAAAAAGTCGAGTGTCTCAGTCCCAATCCTAAACCAGCCTGTGGCTTTGATAGTAAGGATAAGTTAAACTAACTTGCTTGGTGACGACTCTCGAGCGGTTGCATTGGCGTGACAGGACGCGAACAATCACAAGTCAACACGGACCGTCACGTTTCTTCCAGCCGGTGTAAGACGCGTCTGCTCAGCGCCCTGATCTCGCGAGACTCCGTCTTTCCGTACCAGAAGATACGTTGGATAATTAGGTACTGCCATACTACAGTGTTACGACTGCTCGGTACAATCAAACTCAGTATGGAACCAGAGGCAATGTAGCAATCTCCAAGGCTGCCCAGGCATCGGCGTGGATGAGGACCGGCTCACGCCCGCTCGGCACCAGAAAATGTAATTCTAACTTTCCTCAGTGCACTTCAAAAGGCATGTACCACTTGTAACCCAGATAGGCTTGCTAGAAAGGGAGAGGCTAAGCTAGCCGACGCCAACCACACGGCGGATGCGTGAGACCAATTATTGACCCACAGAGCATGAATCTCACGCTGTATGTAACGGCAGAGAACAAAAGGAAGACTATGAGTGGTTCTAGGCACATGAAGAGCGGACCCACAAAGGCCTTCCTCCTGAAAGCGGGGGTATAAACTCGGCGCGTCTGATCATTGCTCCTTCTAACTCTGACCACCACCATTCCCCGACCCGTCCCACGCTGGAGCATCCACACTCTGACCATCTGTCAAACGCATATCTGGCATTCAACATGTCTGACGATCCGGACTTCTTCTCCAACTTGGATCCAAGTCTGCGTGGCATTGACCAGGTATCGGATGCAAACCTAGTAAGGATTGATCGTTCGTTGTCTACATCCGTAGCGCTCAACAATATGACACAGATGTATCCTCCTCAGTCGCACAACCACAACCTGCAGCAGCACGGAATCGACGGTGGGGTATGGCCTCTCCCGTACTTCGGCCACCACGACGCGGTCGGTGGCGCGATGGCCCAGGAGGGCTACGGAACCACAGCGCACCAAGGCTTCTCGTATGCTGGCGCGCAACCGCTTGTCGCTCCGACAGTACCGCCTGTTCCCGTCGCTTCCACCTTCGATCACCAGCCGGCGACGTTTGGCGCGCTCAACCACTACGACTTCGCCGATAGGACCGTTGTACCCCGCACGTTGGGCAACCCCCTCGACTTCGCGCATCTTGCGCCTCCTACTCATTCTCAGGGTTACGGTACTCACGGCATGGGTCCAGAACACGCACTGCTTCCAGCGCAAATGGGACCGCCTATCCCACCGCCCGTGCCGTCCATGACCGAGGGCTCAGGTGGTTCGCCTTCCAGCGGACCTCATACTCCAGCCAACGCATCTTCTCCGCAACCTCGCAATGGCCTCAACGCGAGCGGGCTTGTAGTAGATCCATACCAAAGGTGGCTTGATGAGACTGTCTGCCTATATTATTCGAGAGAGCAGCAGATCGCCTACGAGATTCGTCAACGCTTCGGTGAGCACTGATTGTTATGATGCACAACAACAACTCACAAGATCCTGCACAAAGGTCCTGACTCGGCTTGGGACGTAGTCAACACTGCGATATGCAATGGCATGCCGCTTGAAATGTTGTTCACAGTGCCTCAAATCAGCCCCGATTCGATACACTGGGAATCTCATCGCCAGATCATGGCCACTTATGCCGATGCGATGTTCACTCGCGCGCACGCGCACGGGACGGGTGGTACGTGTATCTCCGCATTCATGCGCTCTGATCCATTCTCACCATGTCCATCCAGGTGTCCAGCGTACGGCGCATACTCATCAACATCGGCATCAAACGCCGTACAACACAACCACCACGCCTCAGACTGCCGCCACCGGCGCAGTCCTGAGACGCTCCAATAACAAATCAACCAGCGCCTCTCGCAAGGGAGGTGCCCGCTCGAAAGGTGCAGGCGGAAAAGTATCGTCGCGCCCCAGAGCAGCGAACGCGGCGGCGGGTCCGTCGTCTGCTCCGTACACTCCACTCGCCCCTCCACTCAGACCAGACTGGGCGCCCGGGGAGCCGCGTAAGGGCAAGCCTAAGTGGGAAGACCCCGAGTTTGAGGAGGACTTTGAGCGGGAGGAAACCTTTGCGCTCGATTGGATGTGCAAGACGCCCGACCTCGTCTGCTGGTTCCCTGACTGCGAGCTCGCGGTGTCTGGAAAGATATTCAAGACCATACAGAAGCGCAACGATCATGTGCAGTCGATACACCTTGGCACGGCGGAGGCACAGTGTGAGGACTGCGACGGATGGTTCGCAAACGCGTCTTCCCGAAAGCGGCACCAATCGCCGCCGGAGAAGAAGTCGAAGGGTCCGCTAGAGAACGAGGAGTCGGCGAAGAAAGGCAAGTCGAAGGCCGGTGAGGGGAAGTGCAAGGGCCGGAAGCCGGAGAGTCCCAAGAGGGGTAGTAGGGTGTTGCGGCAGAAGTTGCTGGAGAAGAGGGCGGCGGCGAGGGCGGCGAAGAAAGAGGCGGCGGTGGAAGAAGATGCTGGTCCCGTATCGGAAGGTCCTGTATACGGCGGTCAGCCCAGGCATGACAAAGACGACCCTGGGGTTGGAGGGGCCAGCGGGATGCTCGGGGAAGATCCCTTCGGAGGGATCCAGGTGTATTAGCGATGGGATGGACGAACGGTTGAGTCTCTTGAACTGTATGGCGAAAGGCATATACACGTACTGGCCTGATATGTATAACAATTCGTATAGCTCGCTGCGCTGAGCAAATGCATGCAACGTTTCTGTATCCGTTGGTGTCTGTTCTGCATCGGACTGCCGAATGCGAGTGGCCTGGGTATGTGCATGGGAACGAGGCGACGTGGCCACATCATCAGGTGTACGGCGAGTTTGATCGAGCGCTGTAGTCCTGCATTAGCTTTCGCCGCTTATAGTCAAGCCGATCCACTCACATCTCAATGATCGGGCAGTGGTACAGACGAGGGGAGACGTGACAACACCGACAACAGCGGACGAGGATGCGCCAGATGAGAAGAACGGACAAGATACAACAACAATGGTGACTATGGCTTGCAGTTTCACATCCGGGCCCGGGTTTCGTGAGAGGCGAGGTTCAGTCCGAGTAGTTTATACGACTGGGAGAGCGGAGTCAAACCACTATCTTACGAATTTGTGTGGTTTTTTCAGTCGGGCGTCCAGGTCTAGAAGCGTGAGATCATCTGGATGACCATATTTATTATTGTAGACGCGTATAAAACCTTGTTTTTTTTTCGGATTGCTGACACCCCGTGGGCACAGGCGCCGTCGTACACAGATTTAGTGATTGTTTGACTACCGTACGCGTACAGATTCGACGAACCAAGGGTAATAGAAGTCGCATGGGAATCTCGAAGAGTATAAGTAGATGAGCGAATGTCCGTGTCGAATATGGGCGGGTGCGACTGCGAGAAATGTTGTATGAGTGGGAGGGTAATAAGCAAACAGCGTGCGAATAAGAGATAGTATTGCATATGGTGAAGATGCCAAGGAAAGTGCAAATTGAGATGATAATGATAGGTAGATGCAAAAGGAGAGGAGCAATATGCGTATGGGATGGGAGCGTGGGGTGAAGATATTTGGGACAAGCGCTCTCATCGCGGTGTACCAGGCGTAAGATACGCACTAGGTGGCCTCGTCCGCCTCTCCTTGTCCTTGTCCTTCCCCAGCCCAAACATCGCGCCCGTCAAACTGAGCTTCCGAGCCGCACGCTTGAAGCCAGCCTTGGCCTTCTCCTTCTCATGCTCATGCGGTATTGTGCTTGGGGGACTTGATGCGGGATTAGCACTACTGAGGGGAGGTGGCGGCGTCGCACTGGCAGGTATACTCGGCACGCTCGGTGCACCGATACTCGTACTTGGTCGATGTCCGTGCCCGAAGCCGTGTCCATGCTGCTCCCCTGCATGCCCGTGCGCACTATGCGGTCGTAGCTTATCTATGAGATCGCGCGTATGATGTGAATGCCGATGTTCTTTCTTGGAGTTGTGTGCAGCCTCGCTATCGCTCAACGCAGCCGCTTTTGAAGCACTAGGACTGGATGGCGGCTTGGGCATGGGTGCTGCAATCGTACTGGTATGCCTTGATGCGCGCTCCGCCCCACTCGCAGTTTTTGGTCGCGCAGGCGATCGTGGTGGAGGGGACAACGGGGGAGAGACGGCAGACGAAGATGGAGCTCCCTTGAGAGCTGAACGCGTAGGCGTTGGAGGTTCAGGGGTGCGACGTGTAGCACGCGTGGGCGTAGGTGGCTCGGTGTTTGGTGGTGGCGTGGCCGGTGCGGCGACTGGTGTGGAGCTGAACACATCTGCCGATGCTAAGCGCTGGAACTGCGGTGCAGCAGGCGATCCGTTGGGTGTGGCCCCATTGACCTTCGGAGGACCATCCAGCACCGACGGCGTCGCAGGAATTGTATCAAGCGGCGGGCCCGCCCATGTGACCGGCGCATGCGCCTGCGGTTCCTCAGACTGCGAGGCCGTGGGCTGCGTAGACGCAGAAGCGAGCGGCGGGGGAGGTTCGAATGTACCTGCGCTGACCCTCCGCGCATGACCTTGGTGCCCCTGGGTCATGCGGAGGGATGCGCGGCGGAAGACCGAGCTGCCCGATGCGGCCGACTCGGCCATGGATGCCTGGCTCGGCGCGCTCGCCATGCTGTGCGCGATGCTGCCCATCGAGCTCGTCCCGACCGTTTCTCGCTCATCATCCTTCCTCTCCTTATCCTTCGCCTCCTTATCCTCTCCTTTCGCCATCGCGCGTAGACTCCGTCGGAAGCCCCATTTGCTGCTCTTGCGCAATGGACTCTTCGGAGGCTCTACAGGGCTATCGACCTTGAACGAGGGTAACGGTGGCACAGGCGGGGCTTCGCTGAGAGGGACCTTCGTGGGACTGGCAGGTCCTGGTGCGGTTCGTGGGCGGCGCGGTGAAGGATCGCGTGGGCTACTCGGTACAGCGTCCGCGCCCTTGAGCTTGCGCTTAATTGAACCTCCACTTCGAGAGCTCTTCACCGGACTCGTCGCATGTCCGTTGGCTTGAGTCGAGCTCATTGGCGGCGGCAAGTGATCGGGTGATGTGACCACGCTCAGTGCGGGTGTAGAGCGTGCGTTCAGCTGTGGCACCATGACAGGAGACGCTGGCGCCGATGTCGACGTCGATGCCTCAGAGCGTCCATCCTGCGAGACCTGCAGCTCTTCCTGGGACGATCCCGGTTTCAAGCCCGGCGGCGTGGAGACGGGGATGACAGAGCCGTTGGCGGTCTCATGAAGCTTGACAACGGGTAACGGCGCGGGTACATCGGCGGGCGCAGCTCTTGGCGGTACAGGGCGGATACCGAGTTCAGAGGGCTCGAGGTTGACCGCCTCGTAGAATAGGACGTACGCAGCGCCGCCCGGGGCATCGCCGAAGTACTTTGAGATCTCCGACTCCTTGATAGCTTCGATCTTGTCATCGTCATAGACTAGCCAGGAGTGCGGTCCCTTGATTATGGTAATGTAATGTCCGTGGTGAGGGCCGCTGTGAGAACCCGTGAGTAAGGTGCCACTTTAGCCCGAAAGGGAAGCGAGATCACGCACGCGCCGATATGAATGACGATAGCAAAGAGCTCGTATAGCCTGTCGGGATCTGGCGCATCGTCGACTGTATTGAACAATCGGAGCTCGAGAGGGAATGCGACGCGGTAGGTGAGCTTGATGTACTTCTGAATGTCCTCCTGGTACTTGAAGCGTTTCAGATGTAGAGCCAGAATATTGGGCAGCTTCTTGATTTTCATCCTACATGAACACACGGTTGTCAGCTCACGTTCGAGGTGGGTCTGATAAGGATAACCTTCTTACCGTTTCTCCGCCTCCTGTAACCCCGCGCAGCTATCACAGAAGAACTTGTTTCTTTGACAAAGCATCTCGCTCGCGCTGAACTGACGCAAACATGCCGTAACGCTCGAGTTCTGCTCAATGTCAATGGACAGGTCGAGGAAAGACTCGTCGCGGGATGTGACGGTTTCGCAAGTAAGGCATCGGGTCTCCGACGTGAGCACGCCTTCGAACAACTTTTGAACGAGAGTGGGCTCATATGATGAGCTGCTCGAAGACGTCTGTGCGGGGGCCGAAGAGAGCGTGCCCACCGAGCCGGACACTAAGCAGCACTTCGTGAGCAACGTCCGCGGGGTGGAAGTAGATGCGCTTACGGTCATCGTGCGATCCGTCCAGCGGGCCGTCTCTGTGATTCTTGTCGGTTTGGATCTCCTCGACAATCTTGTTAAGCAGGTAGTTGAGGAATTCGTGCGCGTCCTGGTGCTGGGTTCCTTGGAAAAGCTCATTGACTTCCTTGAGTTTGTCGACGAAAGCACGTGGTGCAACGGTTCCCTTCTCCGCAGGGTGTTTGGATATGTACATGAAGAGGGAGCGCAGCGCGGAGAAGAGTGTTGGTGGGTGTGCCGGGATCGCCGCATGGTCGTCTTGGGTACTAGCGCTCGGCGCGGCTTCGCTATGTGCGCGCTTGGCTGACTGACGGCGCAACATCGGAGGGGCAGCGAGCGAGGAAGGCTCGGTCGCTGCTGGTGCCGAAGCGGTACTGTTGGCGGAGGCATCGATAGACTGGAGAACGAGGTCCCGAAAAGGTGAACAGAAATACAACGCCTGGAGTACAGAATTGGCGTAGCTGCCGAATAGCGTTACTCTGACGCCCGTTGATGTTAATTAACCTGCAGACATACCAGGTGTTTCCGAACTGAAAGGGAGCAATCAATATACATCAAGTAGAAGACTTGGTCGCGAGCATAAGCTGACGCACATTTGTGAAACCGAACTGCTTCTCATCCGAGCCGTAGACTGGGGCGAGAACGGGAGAAAGTGCAGCTTGCTGTACGGGTGCAGCCGTAGAGGGAGTACTGCCAAAAGTAATCCAACGAGTGGCCTTGGAGATGGCCATTGCGCGTCCCGACCAGCGCGGGCTCGTGTACGTTCAGGACAACGCGCGCTTGAGCGGCCCGTCCCCGCGCTATCCGTCCGCGCGCCGCCCTGGCCTGACCTAGCCATCAATTCTCCGTCCCTAGATCTCTTCCCCGGCCACCATCATCTCCTCCGTGAAACCCTCCCGTCTGCGCTTGTACACAAAAAATACATTGGGAATGCATTGCACAACGCGGAGAGATAGCCGCGCGGCTCGCAATCGTCGCTCATTCAACATGATATGCGCCACTAACTGAGTAATAATGTTCTGGCGCCCCCAATCTCATCATGAACTCGCCCGTGCCTGTGCCTGCCGCAAGCCGTTAAGATCGGGAAGGTGCCACGCTATGAACGTTGTAGTCATCCTTCGAACTTCCCTTCTCCTCAGAGAACACCCTAACACGCCTTTGACGCGCCTTCTGTCCGCCGACCTTCTCTTTGTGCCGCGTTCGTAAAGCCGATGGCTCAAGTCTTTCGATTGCCTTCTGACCGCCGTTCCTGCCGCAGCGGCTGCGGCAGACGAATAAAGCGGGAGCTCGACTGTGCCGATAGCACTCTTCTTTCTCTTTGGGCTGTAGAGCCACGTATGCGTACCATATGCAGGCTCTAATTGCGTCAGAGGATCTAGTGTTTGTAACGACGGGCCAGCTGCGCCGGCGAAGCAATCCTGCGGGTGTCGCCCTTACGCCACAATCATCATGCCGAGCCACAGCACATGCTCCTCCTCCTCCAGACGCCGACTCTCTGAATCGCGAGCAGCCCACGCTCAGCGAGGTTGTGCCGACCTTGGCGTAAGAGCTGTTCTAGTCTGGACATCTTACTCCGATGTCGTTTCAGAGAGACACCCGAGGCTTGTCGGGTTTGCGGCGAGAATCGCAACGTATCGGGCTGTGCGACTCTCTGTTGCACACAACAACGCTCACACAAGATGCAGGCGTCAGCAGATCGCCCCTTTGTTTGGGGATAGTTGCCCGGTCCCTGTTCGCTCGCCGATTGTCGGCATGCCCCATCGTACGCTATAGTCAGATGTTGTGTTCTCATCGTAGTCAATCACGATAGGTTCTTCCTCCGAGCCCGTGGTCATACGCCCGCTCAAAAGAGGCGTAGCGTGCAGTGAGGCTGATCTAAGTGGCGATTGTGACCGTCATACAACACCTGTCAACACAGTCGTGACCATATCGGAGCTGAAGGCATGAGCTCTCTTATACGTCCAGCGGCAACATCTCCGACGCCGGCAAGTGGGTGTGTGAATGTATACTGCTTGCATGTTACATGACCTACATACTTAGTTCTCCCATGGCATCATCTTATCGAACCCTCACATCGACGTGCTTACGCGTCCAAGCATCACCCGGCTCGTTAATCATGTATCATGAGCCGAGTACTTCAACCAAGTCCGCCAATGGTCTACGCAATCCTCATTTGAGCAAGACCACTACTGATCCGTTCGCTACGAGCATCGTCCTGGCCCACCACTGATTGAGGACGGGATCAACTGATTAAACATGCATGGTAGAGAGTAGTCATGCCACGATATTGAATCATGATTACAGTACATCAACTACACGGCTACATATCGCACCCGCCTTTTCAGCGGCTTCCTCCGTGTGGCACAATCGCAACCTCCACTGATCTTCTCTCGCTCATCAATAACCTCCTCCACCAAACCATTCAGCGCCTCGGGTCGCAGCTTTTCCATATAGTATTCGGCTTCTCCGGTTTGCTCGTTCGTCGAGCTCAACCCCTCGTCCACCAAATGGCACGCACGCCCGGTCAACACAACGCGCGTTACCGGGTGGCCCATACCCTTCCTCGCACCGAGTAGGCATATCAGCTCGACCCACAATGTCGGCGACAGCGCCTGCTCGTAGGGGGGCGCGTAAATGACGATGGTGTGTAACTTGGGAAGCAGTGGGCGGTGGGAAAGCGAACCCGCGTTGAGAAGAGCAAAAATTGGTTGGAAGTCTCTCCGGATGTACAGGGTGGTCACAGCAGAGAAGCGGTTGAGACCTGCCCACCAGTCGGCGAATTGCTCAACACTGAGCGAGTCATCGTCACCAGTATCCCTTTCGATGGCGAGTGTTTTGATCCTTTGAGCGACCTCGGGAGGCAGATAGTTCCATTGCGACGGCACAGGATCAAAAAGAGGAGTCCATGGAGTGGATTTCAGCGTCATCGTGATCCCTTCTATGGTGGAGGGCCATGACCAACCGTCTTGGCTTTCCCCGAGAGACACCGACGTGCTCTGGTCGATACGATGAAGAAACTCAGGATGTAGGGACCTAGAGAGGACTAGCACGTCCCGTGTGGGGTGGCGTAGTTGAGCCTCGAGCAAGGACGCGAAGCCTCGGAAGCGAGATGTTCGATCGTATGCCGCCACATTCACCGCGGCGCTCGAGGGGAGAGAGAGGTGATGTAAAAGGATGTAGGCTTCGAATCCGCCTTCGATGTGCATGCGTTTGAGGTGTCCCATCGCAATCGTACGCGAGCCCGAGGAGGCGATGAGACTGCCAAGGGCTGTCTCCAATTCGGATTCCTCCATCCCTTCTCTGCCTTGCTGTATGACATCCTCCTCGCCCAACGTCGACCATAGACCTCCAATGATGGTCACGTGGGTGAGTAGTGGACAGGCCTCGATGATATCGAGGTAATGCGTCCACTTCAACCTCCGGTCATAGAGGGCCAATTCGCGGAGCGAAGGCGCGCTGAAGGGCAGAAACTTGTGCATCATGTAGCTGCGTAATGCCGGAGCTATGAAAGGCTTCTCGATATTTACTGGGTCGGAGCTCTTCCCGGTATGCCAGCCTGAGAAGCTCACAAATTCGAGTGAAGGCATCGCACGGCCCGCCAGAATGCTCTCCCAATCCCTCCTGGGCTGACGTGAAACAAGGGCACCACCTTGATCCCGCTCAATGATACGAGCAGTATCCTGATCATATAGTTCGCGCGTGCGGTGTAACTGAGCTTGAATGACTGTTGTAACGGCGTCTGAACGGAGCCCTGGCCCATCAAGCCTCAGAGTCAGAGGCGCATCCCTTGAGCGCTCGAGCAAGATGTTGAGAGCAGCAGGAAACACAGTGACGTCGCGGGCCCACAAAGTCGCACGTCTAAGCCCAATCTCCCGAAGGTACCGACTGACATGCGTGAGTTTGATCCATCCTAGCAGTTTCCAAGACTCGGGCCTGGAACGAGATGATAGCAATGCAGGTGTTGATCGTGGAGGGTCGAGCTGAGCGAGCACGTCAAATAGCTCGCTGAGGATGTCATCAGGCAAGCTCAGTAGCATTGTGGAAGTTTTGAGTGAAGCGTCCAGCCAGCCAGCTGAGGCGTCCAGTACGGGATGGTGGACGTGATGAAGAACTCTCGCGCGCGTCGCGACGCGCGCTCGAGCTTCGGGAGGCGCTCTGGTTCGATTTTCCCACGTATCTCTCTACCCGGCGTAACGTTGTCCCAATTTATTCACATACATCGGTCTAGCGCGCACAATATCATAGTAGACGGGCACAATGTTCTGAAGTCAGTCTAGCCAGATGTACAATTTAAACTCGTTGGACTCCTGTTCGCTTCCCGAACCACCTCTGAGCAAATGATCCTGAGTTTTGCGTTGAACGGGGTGAGGAAATCGAGCTTGAGATTTACGAGTGCGAGAGCGCCGAGGGCTTGTTTCGCAAGAGTGCGCGAACTCCACGGGCTCCTGGAAGTACTAGAGGGTCAGGCTCTCCACGGACGACAATGCATTGCAATCGAGTAAGGATATTCGAATCTCCGATACTGTTGACCACATCCTGCAGCACTGCGTGGACCATCCTCGAGTATCCTCCAGTATCGCACCTAACACACAAGGTCAAACGTCTTCGGCGAATCCCATATACAGTCAAGCGACTCTCCATGGTGGAGGTGCAAATTGAGAGTATGTACTCGGTATGTTGAAGTATGACTTCGAACGCACTGTGAAGACAAAGATATAGTTAGCCCAAAGCGCGGATATATGGAGTCCAGTGCGCCGGCTGTCGGCGGAAACTTCACCAGACCATGACAAGCCATCTTCTTCAGACGAATGGTACAGATGTGGCGACGCGTCTCCACCAATTAGACTGTCAATTTATATGCGGGTTATACATTGCGAAGGAGAAAACATGCAAGAAGTAATGAAAGCGAGACGGGAGCAGTACAGATGAAGGAAAGCGAAGGGAAGATAGAAATGAAATTGCGCAAAACCGGTCATGCGTCGTCGGTCATGATGGCGAAGAACTCCTGTTCGTTTATCTCGCCGTCCTGATCGAGGTCAAACTCGTCTATCATGGCTTGTCTATATCATACAAATGGGTCAGCTTCATCATGAATGCGGGCATAAGTCACATACAGCTCATCATCCTCCAGCCGGTCACCGATCTCCTTCGCCACTCGTCGTAGGTTCCTCAACGAGATTTTGCCCGTGTTGTCTTCGTCAAATAATTGGAAAGCGCGACGAATCTCTTCCATCGGGTCTCGTGCAAGTATACGTTCGCTCACTAGAAGATGGCGATCAGTATATTGCTTGACAGCAGGGCAGCGAATCGCGACAAGGATGGGACACGTACTGATCTTCGCGAAGTCCTCGAACTCCATCAAGTGCTGTCCAGTCTTGTCGTGATCCCGCAATATTTTCAGCACCTCCGCCTTCTTCAGGTCAAACCCTAATGCGCGCATGGCGACCTTGAGCTCGTGGTAATCCACACATCCGTCCTTGTCCGTGTCGAACAAGTCAAATGCCTCCTTGATCTCCTGCTTTTGCTCGTCGGTGAGCTCTGGTCGAGCATGCGTGCGGCGCTTGGCTTTGGTGGCTGCTGAGGATCCGTACATTGGCGTGGGTGGCAACTTCGCGGTCACGGTAGTGGTGGTTCAACTTCGTTTGGCGCCCGCACGCGTCGCGACGCGAAACGCGTGCTGTGAGCGTGTGACCCGGATCAACGTTCCGATGCGCCACATACGCGCCGAGAGCATGTCCCGGCTGTTCTACACTTTACGCACGTCCACCATGTTGTCCCGCCTTGCCGCTTCCTCGAGGCCCTTATCTGCTGCCAATACTTATAAGCAGCACGCTAGACTGCTCGCGACGGTCGCCTCCAAGATGACCATCGAAGTTGCTCCTCTCCCTCTTCCCCCTTCCGCGGACGCTTCCAAGTTCGCCGACTTTGGACGTGAAGTCAAGGGCATTAATCCGGGAGACCTCACGCAGGAGCAGCTCGAGGAAATCAAGGAGTTGCTCTACAAGGTAGCTCATTGTCTTTATTGTCCGACGTACTGCCGCTTAACTCTACTGTTAGCACGATGCCCTTCTCTTCCGCAACGCCGAAGTAACACCCGAGCAGCAGTACGCTTTGACAAAGGTAGGCGCTCTCGCCCTCGTCTGTGTTTGTTTAGGAAAGAAATACATGTTCTTGGCGACCACCCGTCTGTGTGCACTCCCGCTGTCAGAGATAACGAGCTCCGAATCCATGCGCGCTTAGCCGGCCGAGCATCTCCATTGGTTCCATTCTCCGCGTCGGCAACTCCGCGTACGGCAGCACATGGCTAACAAGCTTTTGACAGTTCTTCGACCCCGCATCCGAGTCGTACGGGCATGGCAACAACAAGACTGGTAAAGAGGTCAAGTCGATTCTCCACCCGGACTTGAAGACCATCCCGCGCGTCCCGCAGGTACAGCTTATCGGCAACGGACCAGCGCCGCCACATGAGGGATTGCCGCCCGTGCAGCTCAAGCACCCCTCGCACGAGACCTTCCACAAGACGCACGTTTCCGACCCTAACACTACTCGGTTCTACCGCTGGCATATCGACGCTGCTCTGTACAAGCTCTCGCCGCCGAAGGTCACCACGCTCTATGGTATCAAAGTTCCGAAGGGCCCGAAGCAGAAGCTCGTGTATGACGATGGAACTGGCGACGAGCTGGAGGTGCCTCTTGGCACGACGGCCTTCGTTTCGGGCAGGACTATGTTCGATATCCTGCCACCGGAGCTTAAGAGCGTTGCTGTGCGCGCGAAGGTCCGCTACGCGCCGCACCCTTACGTCTGGATGTCGCCCTCGCACGCGATGAGCACTGGTCTCGGTATCGAGTCTGAAGGCCTTGAGCTGCCTCTCGAGGAGTTGCCGCCGTGGACTGAAGAGGAAGTTAAGACGTACCCGGTTGTAAGTCGTTGCTTGTCACCGTCAAGCTGCTGTCCCTGCGTCTGACGGCCATATTAGACGTGGAAGAACCCGGTCACGGGCAAGCTTCACTTCCAGGTCCACCCGTGTGGCGCCAAGGAGCTTCTCATTGAGCCCTTGCCCGCTGGCGCCAACCGTCAGGGCGCTCTCTACCCCGATGGCGCGCACCTCAAGGACATTAAGGAGGTCCGCGACTTGCTGTACAAGATGCAGCGCCCGGCTATCGCTCCCAAAGTAAGCACATTCGCTCAATACCGGGGGACATTGACACTGATGCATACTACAGCTCGTCTACCCGCACGACTGGCACGAGAATGACCTTGTCCTCTTCCACAACCGTGGCGTCTTGCACTCGGTCGTCGGCGCATTCGCGCCTGATCAGCTGCGCATGTTCCATCAGTGCAACCTCGCAGCCTCTGACGAGCCCGTCGGGCCTTCTGCGGAGGACGTCAAGGCGTACGCGTAGAGACTTCCGCGATAGTCATTCATTCTGATAGGGTTTTACGTACGGACTAGGCCGAAGGTGCCTGCTGGTGGACAACATAGGCCACCGTGCCGTGTAAATTTATGATCATTTGTACTTGCGGATCTCTACAATTTGGACTACTTACTATCATCTTTGCTCGTATCACACGTGAAGGAATTCGAAGAGAAAGTGACATGACAGGATCATATAAATATATTCAAGGCGTGTATGTGTCTATAGGTATGTGATAGCTACTGCCATTGACCGGTCGACGAACTACCCTGCGTCTGTTGCTGCTGCTGGGAAGGAGTGGGTAGGCCGTACATCTTGGGGAAGTACCAATCCCATTCGCTCAACCTATCAAAGTATCAGCCTCAGCTCTAACACACAAGAAAGAAGATACGTACCCTTGCGATGGTCCGGCCCCAGGCACAGCAGTAGCCACAGACCCTGGTGGAGTACTACCTTGCACCATGGTGGCGCTGGCCGCGGGCACCTCTGTGCCGGCGAAGAACGCGTCCAATTCCTTCCCGAAGTCCAACGATGAGTTCGCCTCTGGATTGGGGTTGGGAGCAGTGTTTGGCGCAGGGACTCCATAACGCCCCATTTGCGATAGTATATCGTCGGGAATACCGTAGTCGGACGGGAACAACCCTGTCCATTGCGCCTGCGATGTCGACGCAGGATGAGGTGCCGTGAAAGCCTCATGTGGGAACTCAGCCGCGAAAGTGCGCCCATCCATACCCCAGAGCGGATCAGCATCAGGTATGTGTCCGAGCTCGCTGGTGAGCATCGGCAGAGGATCGAAATAAGACGGAGGGGGGTCGACGGCCGCTGCTTCGGGTAGCCCACCATCCGAAGGAGGTAGGCTTGAGGTATCGTTGGAAACGGGTGGGAAAGGCCAAGTCGGGCTGTCTTCGCCATCGACCTCGCGAGGGCGTTTCCAGCGTGGCGGCACAAAGCCGTCCAAAAGAGGCACATCTCCCGACTTGGCGAGATCCGTCAAGATCTTGCTAAGAGGGTGTAAACAAGGGATCAACGAGACGCTGAAGCACGGTACGTACCACAATGAAGCAGCATAATGCCAGCGGTCCTTCGCTGTCTGCAGGATCTGGAGGCAGACCTGTACATACTCGATCTCCTTGACCGGGTTGAGCGCCAGACCGGATGACTTGGCGTCCCATATTGCTAGTAACAAGACCACGCCAGACATGAACGCCGGCATGATCAAGCATGCGAAGGCCTGTATAGGGAACCGTGCGAGAAGTGTCGTGAATATGCGAGCGAGTGAACGCGCGGCGTTGGTACAGATCGCCAGGGAAGGGAACGAGATCGTGCTCGCATGCCGCGAGGTGATGAAGGGTCGGTGAACGAGGATTTGCAAGTGGTAGTATTGGCACATCAGGTGGGCGGCATCGAGAAGCTTGTCTTTGCTCGGATTGAACGGATCCCACCGTACTAGACTGCGTCAATACCTCTGTATCAACGAGCCATATACGTCGCACACGTACAGTGATCAGGTAGCGAGTCGGCCCAACGGTTGAGCACCGAATCGAAGTTGGCCACAATCTGACGTTCCCAGTCCGGCCCGACAAAGCCGAACAGAGTTTTCGCCTTCTTTGTCGTATACTAAGAGTGCGACTATGAGCGGCGATGGATAGAGTGATGCAGGACACGTACAATAGTTCGCAGGGCATATCCTAAGATGCGACTCATCTTGGTGGCTGCAGCGAAGTAGGCCACACGAGCAGGCTTATTCGGCGGCTGCTTGAACGCCAGTGCAGGATTGGGGGACTCGAAGTACTCGTCGTCAACCTCCAGCGGCAAATCCAGATCGAAGCTACACAATATCAGGGCATTAGCATCAAGTATCACTAGAGCCCGCGCGAGATGAACATACTCTTCTTCCTGTATAGCGCTTGGTCGACCCAGTGCTGCACTCAGCCATTTATCCATGAACACGAGCGACCTAAGTGAGGTCAGGATCAGTCTGATCTCGTTGTGAACGTAGGACAAACCAGAAAACCCTCTTGAACAGCTCACTTTCAATCGTTGGTCGTGAACCGTACGACTTCCTCCTGTGTGCGCCAATATCGAGCGCCAAGCGCAGCCCGAGGCCGACCACGATCCATGGAGCGTGAGGGAAAGAGCATCCCTGGAGATATATAGCTCCTAACTGTGCAGCCAGGTATGAGTTCACGGACTTTGATGGGCACATAATTGACGTACACAGAAAGCTTGGAGATCGTACAGTCGTGAAACTGACATCAGCGCGCGGCTAGTGAGCTGCACTTGAGAGAACCACTGCCAACCGGCTGATGACCAATCACTGACGCCGGGGAGTAGAACGCGAGTATCCTCTACAAGTCGAGCACCATTAGCGCAGACGAGCAGTACTACGCCTCCGAATGCTTCGTCCCGGAGATGGAGACCGTCGGCCAAAGCACGCTGAAAAGACTGGCGGTGAAGCAGCGGTGTCACGCAGTTCAAGCACATGAAGAAAGTGTCGACGAGGAGCATCATCAGATCTGGCGGTGGGAACTGATAGGCTGGTCGGTGAGCTTCATACGTCGCCAATTCCCACTGATTGATCATCAGTTGCTGTTGGAGGAGCAAAGATTGTTACACGTACAGGGCGCATCAGTGCGCAGGCGACAGAGGGTAAGGAATCGTCGTACTCCTCGCCCTTCGAGCGTACCCGAAACGCAATATTGGCGAAGTTCTTCATCGACGATTTGCCGTGGAAGGAGCCAAGATGGATGCCCACTATGTCGGCCGAAAGGTCTTGAAGCTTTCTCTGACTAGTGGCTTCGTCGTCTGAAGCCTCATAGGTCTCCAGTACAGTTGACGGGTCGTCAGTACGCGGACGAGGTGGCGATCCCGTAGTCGGTGGCTTCGGGAATTTATCACAGACACGTAGTTCGGGCTCTGCGGGAGACTCAGATGAGAGAGCCACTTCTCCAAGTACGTCCTCTTGCATCCAATTGTCGCGGGTCAAGCGTCCACCGATTCGCTTTGAGAAGTCTTTGTCGGGGTGGAGCTGCGAAGGCCCGATGAGTAGCAGACATAGTAACACAGACCTCACATGCATACCTCTTTCAGAAGCGCTGCCATGGCAGTGACCTTCTTCTCGAGCGCTTCGACATACCTATAGAACGATCAACGATTGGTTAGACATCGCCGAACGTGACGGCGTACCCCTTCGGGTAAGTCTGAATACGAAGGTTAGCAACACGGTCTGAGCGAGGGCAGAAATATCGTCTTGCCTGGGTTGCCCCGACGTATGAACAGTCCAATCCCGCGGACCTACAACCAGCGCATGCCCCGCCAGAAACAGGCCCCTCCTTGCCTAGACACGATGAGACCAAGTATGGCTTCAATACTGTGGGACGTACATCTCACTACAAATACTTGCTATTCAGCACGTCCATTCGCACGTCCCTCCCTTGAACTAACCCACCTTTCTTGCGGCGGCACGCGTCACACTACTCGCACTCGATCAGACAAATTCGTGCTTTTGTAACGCTCAGCTAACCGCACGGTATACTCGCGCCTTCTTGGCGTAGCGTTTCTTAGGAGGCTCCGCGTTGAGCGGGGAGTCTTCTGACGACGACATTCACGTCTCCAGTGTGGCAAGGTAAGGAAGTGTGCCTGTGGAAAGTCGTCCACATAAACGTGGTGATGGTTGGACTCTGGGAGGGTCGTGGCTGGATTAGGCGCTTCGTAATCAATCAACCGTGACGCGCATTTTTCCCACCCACAAGTGGTTTTCTGAGGGTTCGAGCTTTCGGTGATCACGATTTCACCGAAACGGCCATATACCCTCCCAGAAGGTCACCACGGCTCACTTCTCGCGTTCTGGGATGCATGCCATTCCGTCCCCCTCCCCAAGTCCGGCCCCATCGAGCCTGGACAGCTTGGCTGGCGCCGATTTCACGACCGCGCCCTCTTCTGCCGCGGAACAGACGAACGAGCCTGTCGCCGTGATATCGAAGAAAAAGAAGAAGAAGAAGAGCAAGAAATCAAGTGCGAAGACCTTGGTTGTACGGGATGTGGCATCAGACTCTGAAGAAATGTCTGAATTGCCCCCTTGCCTGTTGAGTCGCAATAAGCACATGCGGTACATATCGTCCTACCAAGTACGTCCTCTATCAGCATGTTGTAGTACTCCAGCTCACATCTCATACCGTATAGGGATCTTGGTTGCATCTTCCAGTGGAGCTTTTGGACTCGTTTCTAACGCTCAACCTCGAACCCCTCCCTTTGTATGTCCCAGAGCAGCCTATGTCGACGTCCACTCGAAAGGCTTTCATTTCGGGCCTCAATGGGAAGCAGCGTGCCTTTGAACGCACTGGAACCCCTTCAAGTGATCATACTCCGCCTGACAGTCCGCCGGTCTTCTCAGTGACTGTACCTCTTGTGGAAGCTCTCTCCGAAGATCTCCCACCTCCTATAGATCCTGGCGTCTTCCGTTCTGTCATCAGCATACGGCGTCTAGTTGAAGAGGCAACGTCGCTCACTGTGCGCGCCAATTCAGGCCTCTCCGCAGCTGCTTTGGGATCAATGCAAATGACGCCTCATGCAAATGCGAGCCCTTGGGCTCTGGCGCAATCTCTTGGGATCAACCCGTTAGGTGACCCAAACCCTGGAAATGGACGCAGGTCCCCCATGTCTGCAACTAGGATACATCGCCTCCGAGCGCTCGCTGTGCAGAAACTCGCGGCCGCTTACCGACACGACGAGATCGCGGCGTCTGTGATGACCATGCAAAGCGGCAGCGTCTTCGACGATCTTGCAGATCGCGTTCTCAAACTTGGTGAGCGCATTCCGTCCTCGCGCCAAGGGTGTTCTCCCGTGCTAGTCGGGTACTCATTGTTCGTCACCCACTTGCAGATCCCCATCACTCGGACGCGTTGTATGTCAAACACTTTCACGAGAAGATTCCATCTCGGTGAGAAAATACACCTACTGTCAGGTTGTGCCGTCCTCACGTCTGTACAGTCAGGTTGCAGAGTTCACTACGACTGATGCTCTTGATGGTCTCATTGCCAATCATCCTCACTGCTTGGAGTACTATCGTTCACGAGGCATCGTGTACACTTTCCGCGAAGAGTACACCTCCGCGATACGCGATTTTACCCACGTGCTCAACCAAGAGCGATCTGCCCGCAAAGCGCGAGCGGCGCATGCCGCTAGTGCACCTGCTGGTAAAGGTAGCAAGAAGAAGAAAGGCTCGGCACAGCACGATGTGGATGTTTCGTCACAACACCCGACAAAACACGAAGACGCACCGGCTCCCGTCGAGTTACAAGCGTTGTTTCTTCGTGGATCGACGTATATTCAGTATGCTGCCACGCTGATTGAGACCAAGGCGCTGGAGCTTGAGGATGTGGAAAAGTGTTTCCTCCCAAATGGCCAAGATCTTCGCCTCACTGCACCGCTTTACGGTGCGCGGTTCGGAGGCATCGAGGCCGGGCATCCTGACGGCCCCCTTGGCGCCCGCGATGGCGCCAAGGCAGTGGCTTATCGCGATGCCTTCGCAAGCCCACAACTCCGTCAACAAGTCTTCACACAGTCGCGCAAGTCCATACGCGATGCCGAACGGTTCCTCACGCACTTTGGGGCTCTCGACCCACCCGGTCCAGGCAGCGGGATGGCGTCTCTTGAAGAAATCCCTAACAGAATTGCTTACTCCTACGCTCTCTCAGCGGCGCTTCGTCCCGGTGTACGGTCAAATTTGCCGACCCCGCCCGCAGATCTTCCACGACCTGCCATCCCTCCTCCTTACCATCCACTACTTGTCGAGGCTCACTTCATTATACTGCTTGGTTATCTGCTACTCGGAGACTTCACCGCTTTGCTTCATGGGCTGATACGTGCGGCCCGCGTCATCGAGGTTCTTGAAGGCAGCCCTATCTTCCTCCCACCGCGTTCTCTGGCTCAGGCTGAGGTCATAGAGATACTTGAACGGCTAGCGGGCTGTTGGGGCAACGGTACTAAGCCGTCTTCCCAGGCCATGACGGGCAATGGAAAGGGCGCTGCTCCAACAACGCCCACGCCACCAGTTGACGATGTTCAAGCATCTTCGTCTTCATCCGCCCCTTTCGCAGCTTCAAGCTCAGCTTCGTCATCGACGCACGTCGCAACCTCGCATCCCCAGGAAATCTCTCTGCCCGTGGTGCCGTCAGATGCTTTAGAACCGTACGGATCGCGTGACGAGCGTAACGCTCAGCTTGATGCCGCTCGGATGTTGCTTGCCGCTGTCAAGACACGCCAGAACGGGCAAGCTCCCGCCCCACAATTATCCATCCCCCTTTACGGTCCTCGTGTCGAGATTACTCTTGCTTGGCTTGGTGCTGTATGGATACCCGCCTTGGATTGATACTTCTATAGACTCTACAAGTGACATATTTGATTTTAATCTAGCGTTTACTGTAGGACTGAATATGAAGTACCGGATATGAAGCAATCAATTCAAGAGCACATGACGCTCGGTGAGCGTGAAATACATATATCACTCGGACTCATCCCCGTCCCCGACCTTAAGATCATTCGGCCCGATGACTGTCCCATCTGCCCGCTTGCGCGAACGAATAGCCCAGAACGAGTACACATAAGGCTTGTCAGGGCCATCGCCAATCTTCCTCTCCCCGGCGTAGAAACGATGTTTGAGCAGAACGTTGAAGTAAATGCCGACCTTGAGGTAGCCCTCGAAGACTTCCTCGATGTCGCCTTTCTTCTCACGGGCCCACAGCCGGCGCATCTTGAGTACGCCAGAGGCATCCTCGATACCACACCCCTCCTCACCCAGGCTGAGGGTGACTTCGGTGGCAGGACCTGGGCGAGTGTCGCCGTCCTCCTCGAGGTCGAAAGCACCCCCGCAGATCTCCATCTCTTTGGAATCTTCCGTTATCTCCCAACGCGCGATCTTGTCTATCGCCTCGACGACGTAGTCGCCGGGACAGCCGTTGGGAAATTCGGCCCCCTCGTCGACGGGACGTCCTCGATAGAGGCCCTCGTCGTGAAGCTCGATGCGCGCGGTACATTCGTCTTTCGCCTGACGACGTTTCAGTTCGGCGTAGAGCGAGTCGGGCTCGATGGGCGTATCGTCGCCCTTGGTATCCAGCGGAAGGTAGATTGACATTAGTGCACCGTCGTCGAATGACGTCGAGAAGATATCGAAAGTGCCTTCGAAGTCGGGCTCCTGCGCCTGTGGCATAAGTCAGCACCTAGTTTTAAGGAAGCAATACAAGTCGGACGTGAAGACGCACCACCTTGGGACGACTCTTAGGCGCCGCAGCTGCGGTTACTTTGCCGTTCGCCTTAGCGGAAGGTTTCTCAACTTTTCCCTGCGTAGTGTCAGTTCAACGATCTCATTCATCAGCAATTGTCGTTCTCGACGTACGTCTTCACCATTCTCAATTTTCTTACTCGATTTCGGAGTAGGTTTCGCCTTCTTGACAGCTTTTACGGGCTCGGCTGAGTCGGGGGAGAGGCCGCGCTTCCTGCGACTGGAACGCTGGAGATGGTTGAGCTATACTGTGCCATGCGGTGAGACGTGAAGACGTACCTGAGCAGGTTCAACCGGCGCGGCGACAGCTTTCGCTTTTGTCGTACTGGAGGACTTCTTTTATTTGAATGTCAGTAAGATGCATGGCAGAGTAAAAATCCTGGGGAATACTACCTTGGCAGTGGTTGCCCTTGCCTTGCCTGCATTGTTCTTGGCGACGGCTTTCTTCTACTTGCGGGAAGAAGATCACGACAGTTAGTTTAAAGCCGCACATAAGATATTCAAGCTTACCCTCGGAGGCATGGTCAGTACGGGCGAGAGGAAGATTCCAGAGGGGGGACGGTGGAGAGAAGAAAGTCAGTCGCACCCGAGTCAGAAACGACGCGTCGCGTTTTCAACAAGACTCCACGTGGTCTCCGGCATTGCCCACCCGATGTAGCGATCGTATGAAGCCCTGGGCGCTCCGATAGACATTGTGATTGATGCATCAGTCATTGTTAAGCGCTGTACTGTATATTTTGCGCAATTAACCGTCGCCTGAGTTCAAAACCAACGTGACCGCGTTTAAACGCGCGTCAGGGTTTTTTAACCCGAACCCGGGCCGCACCGGGCCGGGCATCCAACGTTTCTGTCCTCCACCATCGAGATCGCTGGATATGCCCTTACCGTAACGCGGACTGTGCGCAGTGGTCTGAGAGTATGGCCTTTTAGAATACTACAGAAATATCGTGGCTTGCGAGTTCGTTCACTTCAATCCGGGCGGAACCAGACGCACCTCAAGTCCGAGGACCGAGTCCGTGACCTGGCCTCAACCTGACCTCACGCCAGAGGCCTTTCCTCGCTACCAAAAGTACGCCAACTTCGCTCCGAAATGATCCTGCGAACGATTAATGCTGTATGGCATGAATTTATTTAATCTAGCTCACATAGTATTCGAGACCTCGTTCACGTCAGGACGATCCAACCCGTGCGGCTAGGCGATCCTACCCCTAAGACTTGTAATGCCAACCGGAAGCTTCACGGAGGGTATCCATGTCCTCTTTTGGGAATCGGTTATCAGAGTCATTGCCTTACGAAGGCGCTCTCGACGGCTAAAGGATGCGTACGCCAGCACTGCATCGCATCGACTCGGACTCATGGGCAGTGCCGAGACTGAAAGCACGCCAGCAACTCCGGGCCTCCACTCCACGCATCTCATCCAGCTTCACGGTGAGGTACACCACCATCTGCTCCAGTCCACCAGCTATTCCCGGCAATGAACTTCCAAGGTCGATATGAAGGCACCGACTACAAGGCGCATGCTCATATACCCACGAATTCTGCGAAACCAAAGTTGTCCCTGCGCTTCTTCGTCCGAGCGAAGCAGGTACGGGAAAACTTTGCTTTAAGAAGCTCATAGAGAGGTACCTACCACTCGTATGGGCGCACACAGAGATGCAAGCTATGCCTGTAACTCAAGGTATTAGCCGTGCTAGATTCTCGCCGCAGTCGTGCTCACCACGGATTCACAGATGTGAGGCGCAGTCAGTGGTCTTCAATCGCCTCCGTGTGAAATTCACAAAGAGATCATCCTACAAGACGAGCGCATTGTAGGCGCGCAGTATCATGATTGAGCAGCTTGCGTACAAGAACTCACGGCAACTAAGAGCGTGCTCATGTATACACCGAGTGTGAGCGTCACGCTACTCTGTCTCGTTGTAGACAGTATCATCTGCCGGATTCACAACAAACGTGCTCTCACAGTCTTCACGCCGCTGGGCACGGGATGCGTCTCGCTGTCAATAGCACCGTGTCACTGGATCTATCTTCCCGTATGTGCTGGCTTCTCGTCTCAGTTAGACTGATCGCACATAGTTCGTGGGCTCTGGGAGCCCGCTCACTCTTTCCAGCGGCCACGTCAGCACCGAGGCCGAAATGCTTTCTTGTGAGTGGGCCTTCGCTGCTCTTCGCCCGCTTATCGACGATTCGCATCGAGCCAGGACTTCCATCGCTCTTATCGACGGATCTAGCTGAAGGAGCGGCTGTTCGATGGCCTACAGCGCTTCGCCGGAGATGATCTTCATTCAATCGCCTTCCTTGGAACTTCGATCTTGCCTCGGAGCGGCGGGGTCGAGCCGGGCTTTCATCAAACACGGTCGCTCACTCAGACCAATAATTGGGCTATCGCAATCGGCTGTCTCTTGCGCAGAGTAAGCTTCTTCTAGAAGAGCTCCTTCTCATACGTGTGCCCGCACATGATGCGTTGTTGACCGTTCTCGATTGAAAGATTCCCGCAGGTGTCCTCTTCCTCCGAAGTTCTACGACCATAGATACGTCTTCGCCCTTCGCGAAGTACTGCGCAACACACGCTAGAGACATTAAGCATGTACAATGCGATACCTGCTCCAAGACCGTCTACGACGACCTCAAGTCGGATCTGAACGATCGATCGTACCCCGAAAGGATGGGCCAAGTCAAACGTAACAGTGGCGTTGACGTCTTCCGTTTGTTATGATCATGTACAACGAAAACTTCTCCATCCTTACAGGGTTTCCTGTTGTCTTGTAGGGAACCCGTGAGAGGTCTGGCGCAGACACTGCGGGTGCGATCTTTCCTTACAACCTCGTCTCTCGGCCTGTATCTAGTCACCATACCAGACAATCGATCAAGCATCGCCGACGTTCCAAGTAAAGAGAGTTCTTGTACCTTGCCGCGAAACGTTTGTTTAGCGCGAGAGAACACCGTTTGATGCGTACGCGGGTCCTCGGTGGGTACTAGGTAGAGAGTAGGGCCTGTAAGTGTCGGATAGATCGGCCAAAGTAGAAGACCGTGTGGCGGATATCCGCAACCCGTAGCCGCGCCACGTTGATGCTGTGAACAACCGACATATGTTTTTCTCTATCAAGGCCGAGATTCGCAAGGACCGGCCATTGACCAAGGAAAGATGAGAGCCTCGTGGAGGGATGAGACGTTGGTTGGCCAGAAGAAGCCAGATCGGGACCAGTGATGCCGTGTGTGTGGCGTGCTCTCGGCAATCTCCAGGGCGGAATCGAGGTACTCTGGGCGTCTAAGTGTGGCTTGCCTCCTGCCACGACGACTTCTCCCTCTTCACGACCCTGCTACGACTTTCTACGGTTCTCTTCGTTCGCTCTTTGCTTGAGCGTTGCTTGAGCGCATTTGTAAACTTTCACACATCGAGAAACACGGCTGAGACGGGGGACGTCAGCCTTGATCTTAGTTTCAGCTGTTTCCGTCTTGCCCGAACGATGGAGCCCGATTCAACACCGTCGGTGCACGCACATGCCCGCGCTCTTTCTGTAAGTTTCCATTCTGGTCCGGGCTGGTTTCGGCACTTACCGAGTCCAGCATCCGTCACATTGGCCTTACGCGGGCATTCAAATGCCGGCCAGGAATCTTGCCTTCGACTCCAGAACCCGAACCATGTCCTCCTTCGGGTCCCAGCTCCCGCCGTTCCCCATCGTCTACCCGCCGCCTTCCCTTCATCAGCTTCCCGTTCCCATGTCTACTCCCAACGGCCGTAATCTGGAGTCTGCTGAAGAGGACTACATACTATCTGGGACTGCATACGCATTCGACCCCACCGATATCACTGGCTCTCAGTCCTTTACTGGCGATCTTCTCTATCGTAGCAACTCGTTCGGAAACTGGGACAAGTCCAACGCGGCCTCGCCTTCTGCGCAGTTCAAACAGGGCTTCTCGCTCAACCCGCTCTCGCCTAGTAACAGTCGTTATCTCGAGTCAAGTACCCGCTTCGACGACACGCCGCCTGCGTACGGGCAGCAGCACGCTCAAGCTGGCTACATGGATCTCGCTGCTTCGTCTGCCTTCGGCCATTCCCGCAATTCGTCTTTTGATGAGGAATTCACCGCCGGTATGAGGCTTGGTCATCAGCGAGCTCTATCGTCAAGCGACGAGGGCGGCATCGTCCCGTCTGAGTTCTTCGCCCAGCCACCGCATCAAGCGCAGCAATCCTTCGTCCAGCCCTCCGACGTCGCCGAGCATCAGTACGGCTCGCCATCGATGGGTGGTCAGGTGGCGCTTCCTGAGACCAACAGTGTACCGTTCCCGAGCGCAAGCGACTCGCCCAGTCCGTTCGGCTATGACTCGTCTCCTGGCCTGACCTCGGACAAAGATGACTCTATGAGCGACGCGACTGGCGACGACGAGGATGGCGAGTATGATCCGGCCGATAGCGACTACGGCGGTACCGCCAGGGTGAAGCGCGCTCGCCGCGCCAGCGGCACGTCGATCATGTCGATCCGCTCGGAGGGATCCCAAGCTACGCCCCGCCGTCGCCGCGCCACCCGTGCGCCGGCGCCTGTGCCGATCGCCAACCTCACGAAGAAGAGCCGTGGCCGCCGTGTTCCGACCTCGCCCATACACATCCAAGATGGCGGCGTCAAGAAGAACACACGTCCACACGTTTGCCCCGCTGAGGACTGCAATAAGCGTTTCGGCCGCAGCGAGCACCTCAAACGCCACGTCCGCTCTATCCACACCGAGGAGAAGCGTGAGTATTCTCTCCGCCCACCATGCTATTGTGTATGGCCTTGACTGATTCAAACTCTCAGCGCACGTATGCCCTGTTCCAGACTGCGGCAAGACATTCAGCCGCCACGACAACCTGAACCAGCACCTGCGCGTGCACAAGGGATACAGGCGCTCTTAAGCGCTCCGTCACCGTCGCGTCCATGGTTTACGCGTTCACGACCCGTTACGACCCCCGCTCTGTCTCGAATCTTCGCAAGGACTGTGTACACATTCGGACACTATGCACATCCAGTCCCGCTATTCCATCTTATGTCCCTCCCCTCGTTTGTTCCATACCTTCCTCTACTCTTTGTTGGATTGCTCTCTTGTTCCCCTCGTTATCGCGCCGCAGCCTGTTGTGGTCGCATTCTTTCTTGGTTCATTTGGTTGCTCGCCCCGGCGTCTCGCACGGATACCATGCCGCATGCATTCCTTCCTTCTTCCGGCTCCGGTCTCGGTTCCCTTGGCCCGCATCCCACCACTCCCCACCCGCCGCGTAGTCTAGGGCGCGCGCCTACCCACTCTTGGTTACCATTCCCGGTCACGATTGTACCCTATGTACTTGTACCTTTTATACTCCCTTCTCGGTCATCCCATCCACTCCACACGCCACAGTGCCATCGACCATGCCCACCCCGTCGACGAGCCCAGTTATATTCCATCCCACACATACGCACCCATCCCACTCCTCGGCCCGCATCTCTGTAAACTAGTCAGTCCCGCATGTGTACTATCAGATCGCACCCCACTTCGGCGCTTAGCCCGCATGTCGTCTGTCTGTCGCCTCGTTTGTCCGCTGCTCGCTCGCTCGCGTTCTTGCTCTGTGTAAACCCGTGTGCCATTGTGAATCCCCACTATGCTAGTATAGTCGCCACCTGTACTCTATGCCTTCCTATACATCTTTACTCTTGTTCTACCTAATACGGTCTCCGGCCCGGGCTCGAACGGGATGCTCGCGATCAGGATCGGGATGATGGGCGCGATCGAGATGGGCGCTTGGATGTGGCGTGTTGTGGCGAATGAGGCGGGCGTGGCGAGCATGAGGCTCGCAGTGACGGGCCGGAGGCGCCGGTGCAGTCTTCGAATTCGTTGCTTCGCGCTACGTTCGTTTGCGGGTTGCGTCGGTCTTTCGCCAGCGATGGTGGGTATGCCCATGACGCATCGTGAATGCCTTCGTCTCGATGCGCCTTGTGGTCCTTTTGGGGCTTTGCCTTCCCGGATGATCATTGGGCGTTGGGCGCGCATACACGTACGGTATCTCGAGATGTCCACCTTCATTCTGTTCACTCATTTGACAGCTCTTATCCCTTGCAATTGCCAGATGTGGCTTGCGCAAGATGATCGTTGTCTTCTTTCGGCCGTCTACTGTATCAAGACCGTTCTGCTCACGAGTTCATCAGTTCTGTTTTTGCCTCTCGTTAGTCACTGGCCCCGCGTATAGGCTATTGTTCGCCTGTTCACTCCATACATAGGTAATGATCAGGTAATAACCGACCCATTCTTCTGGATGGGGCTACTCAGGTGCTTCGTGGACCGTAATCTGCGCACGACTATTCCTCAATGAACGGAACGTGGGTCGCCGTTCGACTCTTCCAGGACTCTTCCAGGCTTCCTCGACGTTGCCTACGTGAGGTCCGATGACGAGAACCTCGGGCTTGCTTATCTGAAGGGCTCCAACGTACGGAACATAGTCGCTCTGCAATAGAGAAGAAGCACAGGGTTGATGGTGGTCTTGGGCCGTTAAGGCACGCCTCGACCGTTGTTCTTGGGAGATCAGTCAGGCTCGATAGGGGCTCTAGGCTACCACGTGGCATTTTCTTTCGTTAATTTGTGTAGACCCTGTCGCCTGTCGTATAAGGCTCTACTTCTCTAGATATCAACCTATAGAGTAGCTACGTATCCCTGCGAAGAGTGAATACAATCGGACTTATGGAAGACCTTAGGAAGAAAGTTGTAGAATAGAGCAAATAGGGGTTTGCCGAAAAAGACATCACGCTCGCGCGCGTCCGAGGTGTTCTTCTCCTGCCAGCGACGAGGACTCCAAGCAGAAGCAAGCTTCACTACGAACCCCACAGCGTCTGGCTCGCCAGCGGCAGCGCAGACTCGTAGCTGACCCCGGCAAGTGACTTGCGACTCCTATTTGCACTTGTGGTCTGATGTGTGCTGGTGCTGAAGGGCTTCGTGTTGTGCGGTGTGTGCCCCGGTCAACATGAACGCGTATCTCAGTCTGCTCGAGAAGCTCGACAACAAAACGGACAACCTGTACCTTGGCTCGCTGAGCTTGAACAATGCTCCGCTTGGGATGCCCGAGGACGGCTTCCCTTCGCGCGTGCCGACGCCGCCGTCTGAGGTGCGGTTAAGTGCCCCTATCGGCGACCACCGCGGACTGACTGTGCGAATCAAAGGAAATAGACGGTGTACCCCCGTCGATGCGACGCGGATACAGGCCACCGCTCGGGCGCACGTTCACGTTCCCGACTAGCAGCTCGCGCGATGGTGCCGAGGAGGATCACCGCGCTCACGACCTCACGATCGGCAGTCTCGACCCGCACGCGCCCTTGTCGATGATGAGCGCACTCGACGCTTTGGCTGCTGCGGCTTCACTGTCTTCGCCCAGCACGTCCTTTGCGCCACCTCCACTCGATGCTCACAATCCGTTTGGCACACCACCCGGTGGATGGCGATCAGGTCCCGATGATGATTACCCTCACCATCGTCTTGATGACCAGATCACATCGAGCATCGGTCCTCAGCGTAATACACGTTTCATCGACCGTGCACAATCTCTGAATGCACCTTCGCGTTCTACTTCGCCTACGCATCCTCCGCCGAGGAGCACGGCCAGCACCCCGCCACGCGATGCTGGAGGTGCACCTGTGCGCCGTCGGCCACCCCGGACACGCCTTCCCGTTCCAACTCCAAACGTCTCGCGCCCTTCACGTGGTAGACATGTGCCTACTGCACCGGGGGCAGCCGCTGACGGCGTCGAACAACCCGTGGCCACGCCTGCTAGCTCACTTGGCAGCGTCTCCGATGGAGAGCGCCCCACACCTGCGCCCCAACGCGCAAAGGGCAAGGCCGCGGTCAAGGAGGGTGAAGAGGTCGGAGCGCGCGTGTTTGTTTGCGAGGTGGAGGGCTGCGGCAAGTGCTTCCGTAGGCGCGAACACCTGAAGCGGCACATGCTCTCCCTGCACACGAACGATAGGCGTATGTATCGATTATCATCGTTTAATGAAGGGGGACTGACGAGCTTGTCTTTGACAGCGTTCCAATGCCCTGACTGCGACAAGGTATGCAACAGGCGGGACAACCTCGTGCAGCACCGCAAGATCCACGCGCAGGATGCGGCGAAGCCCTGAGCGCGTTTGCGCCAGTAAAAAGGCAGGATGTTGGATGATCACCCTCCGATGTAGACTGCAGGATTCTCAAACTTCGTATTTCGGGAAGCGGGCGCGAGCGAGCGCACTGCTATTACCTTCATTATAATATTCCCATGTTGTAACGATCAGTCCTCATGTTCAACAGAGAAGCGCCAGAAACCGACGCTTTGTGCCCCTGTCGCGCGCGTCGCTTTAGGCGCGCTGCGCTTACACGTCTTCAAAATTGCTTTCCTCGGTATGCTCTCCGCTCGGAATTCTACAAACTTTTCTGGGCTCTCGGTCTCTACTTTGGATGCTGCAGAGATGCTGTCCGAGTACCATGCGTGCGATCTGTTCTTAATGCTGAATCGGGCGTCCCCGCACGACGTTTGTGCGGGAACACACAAGTATACAGGGCGTACGGGCGCAAGCACCGCGCGGTACCATCAATCTCCCAACGTCTCCTGAGCCCCGTAGACCAGCTTGTCCAGGGACGGTCCGCATGCTGATCCTTGAACATCCCCGCCGAAGGCACGTACGCCGTCTATCGAGCAATGCTGTATGCGCGTGAAACCCTCGGCGTCCCACACGGTCTACACGGTGTAGCTGTATGCGCCCAGGGGAGCGCAGGTACATTATCGTAGTGTATGTATTGTAGGCCGAAAGATACGCGTCACGGTCCTACGGCCGAAGAGAATGTTGTTTATCGCGCAGCTTTGTTGGTTTATGCGAGTCAAGAAGGTGAATGACAGCAGCGACGATACGCATTGGGCGAGCCCGGCGCGGCGCGTCAGGGCGCAGTTGTGCATCTTGTTCCGTCGCCGCCGCTTCCAGTCAGGCCGCCTCCGAAGAAGCTTTCCGCGGTTTCTGGGGCATGTCCTGCATTTCGTACCCGTAGCAGTGTACTGGCAAAAATACCTCGACGGCCTTGAAGTCCGTGTACATAGCCCTACATAACATCCAAGATGCCCTAGCGCTGGGAAAGGAGTGCGGACCATCGCCCCGAGGCGCCATTCAAGCAAGGCCGCGGCCTAGCCGCCCATCAAGGAGGCTTTTAGGTTCAAGACTCCGTGGGGATCGTTTATCGAGGTACAGCTGCCCTGAAGAGTACGTGCGGCGCCTGCCGCGCGCATTGAAATCGCGGGATGACCGCTGTTGTTGGAGGCCTAACCACGAGAGGATGTCGAGCAGCCTTCTGCACCATGAGTCGGTTATCTAGCCGCCTTAGATCCCAAACTTTGTGTGGAACGCGGAGAAGTTCGCCCGGGGCCTTTATCCTGCGTATCCTGCTCCAAAATTCGACACAGCTTTTGAGCTCGAAGACCCTTCGAGTGCTCCGCGAGACTTCGGTGCCGCCGGAGTGCGAGGGCGCGCGCTCGTGCGCTGTCGCGCGTGAAGCCTCCCACATGTAGCAAATGAGAGATAGATTCCCCCCTGGTTGATCCCAAGTGCGAGCTCCATATGCTCCCCTGGTGCGACGCGTTATCGGTCGCGTGGACAGCCGCGCTTGTGACCCTCCGATACTCACTGCGAGATATATAACGGGTTCGACCTTCTTTGCGTTCGAGCCCGTGCCCTCACCCCGGTCCTTTGTGCCAGCGCGCGGAATAGCATCTACAGGCTCTTCACGATGCAGCTCCCACTCCCCGCATGGTATCGGTCGCCAATGACCCAAGTGGTCATGGTCGGTGCGTTAAAAGTCAAACTCATTGTTCGAACGCAGTATACTCATGGAACTATTCAACCAGGCATTACCTGTTTCTGCACGGTCGGCATGTTCAGTGCCGTGTCTAACCTCGGAGCCGGAGGAACTCAAGATGTCGCGCTCTCCGACATGTCCAACGGTGTTCTCTACGGCTGCTTCGCTATCATGGGTCTCTTTGCAGGTGGTGTCACGAACAGTGAGTGCTTCTATCTATCTCCACCATGCTCCGCGCGCGCACTCGTGCTCGGGCGCTTGCTGCGGCAGATACCGGCGGCTTTGTGGCCCCGCTGTGTATGTGCCGAGAGCTAGAATAGTCTGCTGATCACGCTTGTGCATACAGTGCTCGGCCCCCGCGCTACCATCTTCATCGGCTCCCTCGGTTATGCGCTCTACATTGGCTCGCTCTGGTGCTTCCAGACCCAGGGAACACGGTGGTTCGTCGTCTTCGCGGGTGCTATCCTCGGCATTACGGCCGCTCTCCTCTGGTCCGCCCAAGGCGCGATCATGATGTCGTACCCACTTGAGAAAGATAAGGGTGAGTGTATTGAACACGTTCAAAATCTAGGGCAATGTATTGACACACGCAATAGGCAAGGCGTTCGGTATCTTCTGGGCTATCTTCCAGTTCGGTTCGTTCATTGGCGCTGTCATTGCACTTGCCATCAACATCAAGTCTGGCGGCCTCTCTGCTGTGAACACCGGAACCTACCTCGCCTTCATCATTATCATGTTCGTCGGTACCGCGTCGACCGTGCTCCTCCTGCCGCCGGCCTCCATTGTCCGTGCGGACGGCTCGCTCGTCAAGGTCCAGAAGGCATCGTCCCCGCGTGAGGAGATCATGTCGTTCATCTCCCTCTTCAAAGACTGGCGCATGCTCGCGCTCACGCCCATGTTCTTCGCGTCCAACTACTTCTACGCCTACCAGGGTGCCGTGAACGCGTTCTACTTCGACGGCCCGACTCGTGCAGTCAACGCCACTCTCGAGGGTGCCGGTGCGATTATCGGCGCGCTCATCATCGGTATCTTCATCCTCGACGCGCCCCGCTTCAAGCGTCGCACTCGCGGCTGGCTAGGTCTCGCTTTCGTGACCATCTGCACCATCGTTATCTGGGCGTGCGCGCTCAGGTGGCAGGTCACCTTCACCCGCTCGAGCAACCTCACGAAGATGTCCTACCACGACAGCGACTACGCATCGAAGGGGACGCTCTACTTCTTCTTCTACTTCGGTGATGCCGCATACCAGGCGCTCGCGTACTGGATCATGGGTGCGATCACCAATGATCCGTTCAAGCTCGCTCGCTACGCCGGCTTTTACAAGGCCTTGCAATCCGCGGGTTCTGCCGGCTCGTTCGGTATGGATGCCGTTGCTACGCCATTCCTTAACGAGCACGTACGTGCCGATCTTCTTCAATCTCTGATTCGATTTGATGCTGATATACGTTCCTATAGCTTGCCAGCTGGGTCATGATGCTCGTCTCCTTGCCGCTCGCCGGTCTCGTCATCTACAACGTCCACGACACGTCCTACCAGGATGAGAAGACCGTGTTCGTTGACGACGTCAAGAATGAGAAGGCGGAGGAGGGAACCTCGACACCCGTCGACGAGAAGGAGCCGGTCCCGGATTACTCTCCGTAGACTCCTCCTTCCCCCGTCGCATCTCTCTGCTTGCTAGGACTGCTTTGTTTTCCGAGTGCTCTGTAGTATGACCTTGTACACGCACGGCTGACAGCTAGATCATTCACATCGCTACATTATGACCTGTCTGATGCCGTTCTCCCTCGAGACGGACGTCGCTGACTGACTCGCTTGACTGATTGTACTGACGCATTTACGCTTCTTATGGGCTTGCGTTCTTGCATCGAGTGTTCTTGTACTTACTATATCTTAGGTTAGTACCGGCTCGTGCGGAATGGACACGATTCTTGGGCTTGTGTTGATATCACCCTGGTGCGATTCTCGGACCGTCCAGCCCGCAGCGCGCAGTGCTGTAGAGCGATGTGGTCAGTGCTCGCTTCTATCCCTTGGGCGCGTGTGGCCCTTTTGCGCGCCCATGTGCATGATGGGGGATGGCATGGGAATGAGATGACCTATCGCGTCGTTGATGCGGGTCGGATGCTGCGTAGATTTGCACTGTGTGCGTAGCCTTACAGGGCAATGGCGCTACGCCAATACATCGATAGAGATGCGGTAGACACGCATCATAGCAAGCTCGAGGAGCACTTGTCCGCTCTGCGCATATCGCTCAGAATAATCGCGCATCAGATAATGCAGATTAGTAAGCCCGCATACAGTCGGGCAGCTCTCGGGTAGCCTCGAGAGCTATCATGTAACGTAGAGACAGAATAGACGAGCTGTGTAAGCCCATCGAACAATGCTCGAATCAACACCGCCAATCTCGGGCGCACGTGCCGTATTACCGATGCAGAAATTACGCCATCCGCACTCGCATACCGGGTTAAAAGCAAGGAGAGCCGTCATCGGGATCTCACCACAAGCCATCCTCTCCCTCTAACGACCACTACCCGTTCTCACTACCACTCACCCACTCACGCACCATGTCCGTCACCCCCATCACCTCCAAGGCTCAGTTCGACGAGATCGTGCGTTATCGGGCTCTTTGGCTTCCCAATGCGGAATCCGCTGACAGTAGAGATCGTAGATCAAGAAGGACAAGCCTGTTTTCATTGACTTCTGGGCGACGTGGTGCGGCCCGTGCCGCATGATCTCGCCCTTCTTTGAGAAGCTCGCCGGTGAGGTCGAGGGCGCTGAGTTCTACAAGGTCGACGTCGACGACCAGCCCGAGATCGCGCAGGAGGTTGCCATCCGCGCCGTGAGTACCTGTCCGGCTGTGGCGTCGTGTATTGATAAGCTGACTATCTGCTCAGATGCCCACGTTCATCGCCTTCAAGGACGGCAAGCAGGTTGGCGAGTTTGTCGGCGCGCACAAGAACAAGCTCGAGGTTAGCCGATATCCCCCTCCCTCACAGGGCTCCGCTCACATCCCGCACAGGAGCTCATCAAGTCGAACATCTAAATCATGAATAGCATCTAGAGATAGTTATTGTGTATTTTATCCTGTAGTACGACGTCGGGCTTGAATCAGATCTCGCCTATGATACCTTCCAACTCGAAAGAGCCAGAAATATGCGGATGTGGCACGAAGCCAAGAAAGAAATGAAATTCAGGGATGATGCGCTGCCGGCGGTAACCGTCGAAGCCGGGCCATAAAGAATACGAGCGGCAAGGTCGAGCGAGTCGCTCACGTCACGCTGTTTCAAACGATCACGCTGCATATCAAAGAGCAGTTAGCAGACCCCCGCAATGTGCACCTCTGCTCTAACTCCCATCATCCCCGTCTGTGCCCGTCCCCATGTCCTCCGGTGAAGAGGACGGCTCGCCCGGCGGGCGCTCCAAGCCCAGCGCGCCGAAGAAGCGACGCGTGGCGTTGGCCTGCGATATGTGTCGCAAACGGAAGGTGGGTGGTCGGTGCAATATATCCATCGTGCCGAGCGTTATGGGATGCTGACGCGTTCGGCGGGCACAGATTCGATGTACGCGCCTTTTGGGTTTTACTCCCGCGGGGTCCGAGCGGCCGCTGATTGCCGAGAATGTACAGGCGACGGCAAGCAGCCGAAATGTACGAGCTGCTCAACATACAACTGGGACTGCTCCTATGTCGATGCCACAAAGGTGCGTGCACTTGGCATCCACTCGCAGTCCGGACGCTGATCAGCGAGCGCGCAGAAATTCCAGCGCGGGTACGCCTCTCGTAATGCTTAGTACTGGGACAGAAGTTGATGCAGGATATATGCGCGCAGATATGTCGAAGCGCTCGAGGCGAAGAATCGGAAGTTAGAGGCCTTGATCAAGCGGGTATGTTATGGGCGCCTCCTGTCATGACGGAATTAACCTCGGAACAGCTACACCCAGATGAAGACTTTAGTCAGGAGGTCGGATTCCGTTTAACTCGCGAGAACTGGACGCAGAAAGGTGTCTTGGGCGAGAACGAGCCATCTGAGCCGTCCGCCTTTGCACCTACCGAGCCGCCTCCCAAGTCACCAGTCGCTGTATTCGTCGGTGGTTCAAATCACCCGTGCAAGCCTAAGAACCACTCTCCGAACGATGACTTCGAGCCCTCGGACGACGACGAGAACATGTCGACAAAGTTGGGTAACTTGACGAACGACTTCAAATCCTTGACCGTCGGTGGCTTCCACGGGAAGAGTTCGGGCGCGCGGCTTATCAAGGCCGCAATTCGGGCGAAGGAGGAGAAGGATGGGACGCGAATAGACAAGAAGAGCGTCATGTCATTCCAGAGACCGCAGTTCTGGAGGTTGAGCAGGGTATGTAGTATGGCAACCGAATATCGATCCCCAGTCTGACACTTCTGACAGTGGGAACGTGAAACATACGAAACAAAGCGCGCAAGCTACACGTTCCCAGAAGGCGACCTTCTGTTTCAGCTTTTCGACCTCTATTTCCAGCACCTCAACACCGTGCTTCCCGTACTACATCGACCAACGCTAGAAGCGGCTGTGATATCCGGCTCACATCTGGTAGATGAGGCGTTGGGTGGAGTGGTGCTACTAGTCTGCGCGAATGGAGCACGGTACAGCATGGATCGGCGCGTGGTCTTCGACTACGACGATGGGTGGCAATCTGCGGGCTGGAAGTACTTCCAGCAAGTACGCATCGCGAGTAAGAGCCTCGTCTCGAGCTCCCGATTGTGCGACTTGCAGATAGCTTGTGTATGCCTCTCACCATCTAACATCATCTCTGAATGAGACTGAAGTGATCACACAGCTTGGTACCATGTACCTCATGGGATGCTCCGCAGCGCACGCGTGCTGGAACCTCTGCGGAATTGGGATCCGTCTGGCTCAAGATGTTGGGGCGCACCGGCGCAAAGTCTACAGTCGGACGCCGACGGCGGAAGACGAACTCTACAAGCGCGCATTCTGGGTTCTCGTCGTCTGCGACCGGTGGCTGAGTTCCGCGCTTGGACGGCCATGCGCTATCCAAGAGGAAGACTTCGATCTGGAAATGCCCATAGGTGAGCGTCACCAATATTGTCTTGTACTTGCCTGCAATTGACCTATTCATAGACTGCGACGATGAATACTGGGCGCCACCCAACCCAGATGAAGCCTTCAAGCAACCTGCTGGGAAGCCGTCGAAGATGACGGCGTTCATCTGCCAACTCAAGCTCTGTCAGGTTCTCGGTTTTGCTCTCCGCACTATCGTACGTTCATGACCAGTATGGTTCTACGCAAGCTCTGATCGAGTGACAGTATACGAGTAACAAAGCCAAGGCTCACTTCGGTTTCATTGGTCCTGACTGGGAACAGAAAACCATCACCGGCTTTGATTCCATCCTCAACAGATGGGCAGACCAAGTGCCAGAATACCGTGAGGACATCCGTTCTGTCACATGGACTCCCGTCTGATGGGTATCTACAGTGCGTTGGGACCCTAATCGCAAGGACGACGTTCTCTTCATGCAGAGCGCGCATTTGTGGTCACAATATTATGACCTACAGATTGTCATCCACCGACCTTTCATCGCCGCACGTATATCTACACCACTCGCATACCCATCCCTTGCCATCTGCACCAACGCCGCCCGAAGCGCAGCTCATGTCATCGGCGCCACGCAAGTTCGCTTCCCGAACCTCGTCTTCCCACATCTGCACAAGGCTGCGTTCTCAGCCGCCGTGGTGCTCTTGATCGGCGTCTGGAATGCGGCACGATACAAGTCCAGTACGCTCAAGCCGGAGAAGGAAATGGTTGAGATACAGAAGTGCCTCGATACTCTGAAGGCTCTCGAGACAAGGTGGCATGCCGCCGGTCGTCTATGGTGCGCGGTACCTCTCTGCTGCGCTCGATAGACGCTTACCTTTGCATTCCAGGGATATCCTTCATTCACTTGTTTCCGTCGGCACCCTCCCCGCGCCTGAAGACATGTGGCCTAAAGGCAACATGTTGAAACGACCGCACGAAGACTCAGCTGCGGCAGCGGCTGGCGCCTCACCACAGACAACGAACTCCACTCCCTCCTCCCTCAGCCATATGTCTGACACCTTCGCGAGCTCTGCTTCGAGCAATCCTGACTCCCTCTTCTCCGGTTCTCTCGGTGGAAGGTCCGATACCTTCTTCGGTTCCGAAAACAGCGTATTCGCGGGTTCTTCGCCTGACTCTGGCAACCTCCCCACTTTCCCTGGTAGCGATAACATGTTCGCCGGAATGTTGGCCAGGGCGGGAGGTTTATCACCTTCAGCAGCAGGCTCGACTGGCGAGCGTCCCATCGCAGGCGGAAGCCGAGTGCAGGCTACTCAGCAGTCTGACCGAGTTTTACCGATACGTAGCGACGAGCTCGGTCGGATGGACGCCAGCGACCCTATGCTCTCGTGGAACATCGACCCATTCGCCCTCACCGAGCAAGGTCCTTCTACTACCGGCTCGGGAGAGGCAGGACCATCCTCGATGTCGACCATGCCCACATTCACCCAAGCCGACGCCAACATGTCGTTCTTCCCCACGAGCTCACCGGCGGGTCAGCAAGAGTCGCAATCTTCGGCTCCCGCGCAGCAAGGTGGTGGGCAAATGGACCTTGGCGCTCTGTTCGGGCTGGGTGAAGGCCAAGGTCTGACGCCGCAGAGTCAACCTCAATTAGACTCGAACCAGTCGAACATGTTGGATGAGCTCTTGCAGGGCGTGACGACGCCTTCAGGAGGGCTGGGAGGTTCGGGCGCTATGGATGTCTGGTCCGGGGCCGGGAATGCGTACGTCCTGTTCAATCGATCTCTATCGCTCGCGTACTGACTCAAATTCATGCGTAGACTACCAGACTGGTACTGGATGTATGCGCTGTCCAATCCCCAACCAGAGCTGCAGATGCAGCAGGACGAGTGATTGATCGGGTTAGACTGCCGTTGTAGATCCTTGTGGACATTTGTATCATACATCTTCTCGCGTGTTCTTTGTCGTGTTCCCTGGGCCTTCAACTGTACCAGATCATCCTACTGTAACAATAAATACTCGCTCACTCTACTCTCATGTCCATCCAGAACGGAAGGCAAACTTGAGGCAAATCGAGAGACGCGCGAAAACATACGTGGGAATTCTAGACCAAGCGTGTCTAGAACACGCGCCGCGTTTGGCTCTTGCCTTTTGCCTTCACCCTCAGGTCACAAAAGCCCACCATGCATCTCATGTACACCCTTGACGAGTCGGGAAACCGCATCTATACTCTCAAGGTACGTGGCCTGCATCAGATCCGCGACAATGTTGCTCACTTCGCGCAGAAAATCACGGACGACGGCAAAATTACCAAGTCCGCTCACCCTGGTGCGTAGCCAGTTGTTGTGGATTTGGACGTGTGCTGACTTATGTTTAGCGCGCTTCTCGCCCGATGACAAGTTCTCGAGGCATCGCGTCACTATCAAAAAGCGCTACGGCGTTCTACCCACCCAGTTGCCTGCAAAGCCGTTGTAAAATACTTTTACACACTTGACCCACACGCGACTGGTCAGATACCGATCACATTGCTGCTCTCAGATATGGCATTGTAAAAGGGGAGAGTGGGAGACCCTTACCTTTGGAGACATTTGTGGGAGGCGGAACCCGCGTGACGACTTGGGCGGGACGCGGGATCGTTAGGCCATACAGCGCGTACGCAGGTTCTTGTGGCAGTAGCTTTCCTTTTCTATCTCCGCGCTCTTTGCATGTATCACTGAATAAACATGTTGTATTTGCGATGATGGTCATCGAAGCGCGAAGATGGATGGCATGTACTAGTTCAAAATGCAGGACACATTCGCGGAATTGGCGTGCCCGCGAGTTGGGATTCCCCCTATGAATGGCCCTGTAGCCGGAATGCAGTCACTCTGCACGTCAACTTGGAGTGCAATCTCTCCAGCCCCAATACCGTCGCAGTTCTCGCCGCTCCATAGGTGAAGGGTACAGTTGGAGTCTATCTCATACTGGTCAGACGGCCAAGAGAGTTGAGAATGCGACGATGCTCCTTACCGGCAGGTGGGTGAACTGTGAACTTGCCCGAATAAAGACTGACATTGGCGCAGACTCCGACAATGAACTGGTCTGCCTGTGTCGGGCTGCCTGGGCAGTTATAATCCCGCGACGCGTTCCAGACCTGGTAGTCAACTGGGAAGACGACTGGCCCTGCGTGAAGTCTATTCAGTCTCTGAGCGAGGGGACGCTTTACTGCTGGACGCACCATGCTGAGCCATGACCATCGGCATGGCCACGACGCACGCGAGAATCTGAGCAACACGAGTAGAGAGCATGTCTGTATGTGAGTTGAAGAGGTCGGCGAGTTGCCTGCTGGTTTCTTCAGCTGCCATGACCGCGGTTCTTATACCCCTTCGACATCGCCTCCAGCGGGGATATTATTTGCGGATTACAGCCGTCCTGCAACACTCGACCTGAGCGGGCCGCGGGCTATAGCCTGCTACAGTAATATCCGCGGCTCCACATTCGACGACGCCCATGGCAGCCCTCAAACACTGCCACTTTCCGGTGACGGCGGTCGGCGGTCGGCGGGGCCACATTGTGTATCCACCTTACCCACTGACCTACAACGGGTGGGATCGCATGCCCTCGTAATGGGTTTCAGCTTTAGAGCTATAGGGCCACCCCTTCAGTAGTGATGTTTGGCATTAGCACTCGCCGGGTAGGAGCGCGGGCTCTTGCGGGGTTCAAGTTGCACTTGTTGGGTCTCGAGGGTTCTCGGTCTTCAGTCACGCACTACCCAAGTCTATGGATGTGATTGCGAGACTGGTTCGCTGTATCCCTTGCAGTTACAGCAGATCCTCACAGATCTTGTCGACCCTTCACATAGCAGTAGCTGGGCGGCCTTTTCCCCATTATATCTACCTAGTAGTACTTTCGACTGCGCCATGTCATACTATCATGTCAGTATTGGTTGTTGCTAGCCTGCTATGCGTTAACGGCGACTCGTTGAGCGCCAGCACTGGCCCACTCACGGTGGCTAAGCGCGCAAAGGAATACGTGGGAAGATCGTCAAGGGTTGTGCGCGTCTCGAGCACGCGTCGCGTCGCGTTTGGTTCCTACATTCATCTACACCCCGACATGGGGCCCCAAGACTAGCGGTCATGTTACGCACTCAGTACCCCTGGAGAGCGTCGCTTACAGCTGGCGTGTATTGCAGTTCGATTTGTGTCCAGGCGCCTACAACACCGAGGAAATCGCGGGTGATGTCAAACTACTACCCTGTCGGGCCACCCTGGTGTGTAGCCATATCCCGCGCATATGATAGATTCTGACTTGATGCAACTCGATATACTTTTAAGCTCGTAGCTTGTGATTGATTACGTCATCATTGGACAAAACTACGGTGCCCTGTCTAGCCAATGGGGCACTGTGCGGATGGGCTCCGGACGTCTAGTGAGGGGTAGCCAGCATCACGTATCCCAGGCATGGCTTTCAATACATCCGCACTTGTGTTCCGCTCGACATGAATGAACTCTTTGCCACGCAGGAGACAGACATGTCGTATACATTGCAATTACTACTGGTTAACCTGGGAGACACAGATGACGATCACGGAATTGCCCTGTGTGGGAGGCCAATCATGTGTGCGGAAGCTGCGTATACGTGCGTGGTAGTATCTTCAGGAACCTAAAGATCACTCGCCCTCGTCGAAGGTGCAGGAGACGTTCACAGACTGAGCATGCGAAAGGATCGGGGGCCTCACGACGACCGGCCCTGTAGCTTCGATGCAATCGCTCTGCACTCCGGCTTGAAGCGATCTGTCTCCCACTACGCCACCCTCGCAGTTCCGGCCGGTCCATAGTTGAACGGTGCATTGGCTGGCTCCTAAATCATGGCATCTTGAGCAAACGTTGCGCGTCGATCGTAGCGACGTTCCTTACCGGCAGGTGGGTAAGCTGTGAACTCGCCGGAGTAAAGACTGAGGTTGATGCAGTCTCCGATGAAGAACTGGCCCGTCCGGGTAGGGTCGCCCGAGCAGATGTAGTCCTGCGGGGCGTTCCAGACTTCGTAGTCGACTGGGTAGACGACTACTAGTAGAACAACACGACGGACGTCAGCAAGCACGATCAGTCCGCTGCTGGACAACCTCAAGATACACTCTATGCTGTGCCATAACCGTCGGAATGGCAAGGGTGCACACGACCATCTGGACTATGAGAGTATTGAACATATCGGCGCGTTCGAACAGGCGGTTGCTAGCTGTTGAGGACATCTGAGAGCTTTATACACACTCAAGAACTGAGTCATGGGACGTACATCGCGGGATACGGCGCCTTCTGCTACCAGTGACGGGTGCGGCGGCGGGACACTAAGCTGTAACGAATGCACAATGCTACTCGGTGGGCGCGATTCCATTGGACATCTTTCCGCTCATCGCTCATGAGGGCTTTCAAACACGAGTGACCTGTCGGCGACAACAGCTGTTCTCCGGCGCTCCACTATGCAACCATGCGAGTGACCTATCATCTGATCGAACCTATGCTGGGTCCTTCACCTGGGAGGCCACCTATCCCGCCGTGCGGCCGACTGAAACGAGGAGCGGGGGACACGGGTCTGTCGTGAACTAACGCTGCGTAAGTTTCTAGCGCCCGAAACTTCGAGATGATGGCTAATCACGATGCTGAAATTACGTCGTTGTGCTGGTGGGCTGGAGAATGACCCGTTGTAGGGACCATATGCGAATTTGCATGGTATAGGGAGCACGCATCGGGATGCAGCACGTTTTTCAAGCCTTGCTCAACTTTTCAACCCTCTTGTTTCGACTCCCCTATCTCGAATGGACTGCACAGTCTCCATGACTTGTGTGGGCGGATTGTTGCAGGCTTCCATATTCGCGCCATATGGCCTGTATTGGAGATACACTGACAGCCCAATGATTCATGGGCAATACATGGACTACAAACTACGCTGGACTGCCAGCCATGTTCTCATAAGGCTATCTGCGGCGCGGCGCTACACAAAGATACACTCGACCTTGACGGACTTCGCCTCCAGTTCCTCTGGGAATTGTCCCTGGAGGACGCCATCGTACACTGGGACAATGCAGCCGCTCTGCTCATCAACCACAAGCGAGATCGGTTCGGCTTCGGCGCCGGCACAGTTTGCGCCGTTCCAGATGTTTGCCGTGCAGTGAGCTCCTGTAGAATTCATGTCAATAACAATCAACCTCAACCCATTATATCGTCGCTATCAAGATAGCCGGAGTCTCTTACCAGCTCCTTCGTGAACCGTGAACTTCGCCGTATAGAAGTTCAGATTGGTGCAGGACCCGACGGCGAAAGCGCCGGTCTGCGTGGCAGACCCAACACAACCCATGTCAGATTGGTAGGTATCCCAGGTCTCATAGGCAACGTCGATGATGGGCCCTGTTTACAGAGTATGGTGACCAGTTAGCTTCGTCCCAACCTGTTTACATGTGCGATCTCGACCTTGGGCCCATGCCACAGGCAAAATGGCGGCGCATGCCACAACGGCTCGGGTAATGCGAGTGTACAGCATGTTGAGGGATGAAGTGGATGCAGATACTGCAAAGTACAATGCTTCTGAAGACCGTCAAACGGCCTCAAGCTTGCCTTTTTATATGTCCGCACAGTGCAGCTTCGCAGGGCCGCTGAGCGTTAGCCACGGTCTTCGGTCCGGTGAAACAACGCGGGATACAAATTACTATGCGATGAGAATTCACTTTGTGTCAGTATTCACTCGCAGGCGCTCTTGCATTCTACTTGTGAACTGTACACCACCATCTAGGGTCCGGGCGGTCGAGGGACCCTCAAACATTAGGAGTGTACCATGGATATCTGCGGACTGGGTCAACCTATCCGGCGAGTACTATGGGCCTTGCCCGCAATGGCAGGTACCCGCCTAACACGTTCTTCGATACGGTATACAGAGTACTATTCCGCCTCTTCAACTCGGACATCATAGAGCCGGACCATCCCATGACATTCGTGTGCCCCATTGACTAGAAGATCGCTAGTAAGCCTTCACCCTGCCAAGATGACGATAGACAGGCTCACCAGCACTCCTAATGTTGTAGCCTATGGGTCTCAACGCGACCTTCTCGATGGACCAGAGAGATCGAGGCGCGAGTTCAAAGGAGTTCGTGTCTTAACGATCGGCGGAACTGTCTGAGAAGGTAGAGGAGGCGAGAGTTCGCGGCATATATATCAGACCTCCCTCAGTCAAGGACACTGCAACCTCAGGTCATGTTTGCATACACATTCGCCTTCCTCATCCTATTTGCTCGTGTTTCCCATGGCGTACCGGGCATTCTCAGCAGCATCGTAGTCTTCCCAGTCGACTACAGCACTTGGGACACGTACAGTACATCCGCATGCGCGGGCGGTCCCTCTAATACAAGCACAAGTTCAATGTTAGTCGGGAGATGCGCGGATGTAGATCTATATTCAGTAAAACTCACGCCACATCCACCGCCCTGTGTGTCACTCTCCATTCCTTCCGCGCGTGCGCCATGCTGAGACACTGATCAGCGGCAACGTGTGTCGCAACATTCTGGAACACATCAGGGTGTCAGGGCGCCCAGTCCTCCGACCAAGCGGTGAAGAACGCAGTTGAGAGTTCATGCTTAACCCCACAATGGCAGGGAACTACACATGGAATGTTTCCGGAGGAGACGATGGCGAAGTCAATGATGGTGGAATGCGAGTTTCATTGATACAACGTCGTACTACTCGTAATCTGTGATGAACAGAGATGCGGTTGCAAACTAGCAGTCATGTGCCCGCTTTCTTGCAGCAGTGATCCTTTATGAGGTATCCCTCGAAGGTGTTGCGCAGAGCTGAAATATGTGGTCATTAAATGCACGAACGGCGCATCCTGGCCACCCGGCGCTCGGACAATGTAATATTGACATCTCACGATCATGCGCCGTCACTCGAATAGCACGTCACGAATCGTCGTTCTGATCGGTCCGAGGGTATGCGCGTCAAAAGCTGGCCATACGCATCAGCGTGGCTCCATGAAGAAAGAGATCATTCGAAAAGACATACGAAGGAAAACCGGACGTATGCGCGTAGGGATCAGTAGGCTGTGCGCTGTGTCCGCTATCGTATGGCTGACCGAGAGGATCGTACGCCGGAGATCGCTCGCTATTCGCGGGATTCCATACGTCCTGAGGTACTGTATGACTTCCCGTCGAGGATGACCAGGGGAACTGGCCGGTCCCTAGTGTATCACCGAGCGGATCAAACATTCCAAACGCGCCGAGATCATTTGCTTGAACGATACTATCCCAGAGGTTATCTGTGTTCGACGCGGCGGGTCCATTCACAGATGGCATCGGCATTGCGAACTGAGCGGTGTCGAGTTGGGTTCCAGAGAGCCAGTCGTCAAACGAGGCCAAGATGTCCGCGTGCAGCGGGCTGAAGCGATCCGGGACGGGGTTGACGGTTTCGTCGAACACACGTTTTTGGCCACCTGCCACGTCTGGCGTAGGAAGATTCACGAGAGATAACAGCGCGTTCATTACATCTCTGGATATGGCGACGATCAGGGTCTCGTTTTGCTGATGAGGACGTGGTAGTTACCGATGGCGTCCTGCGGGATGATCTCGCGTCTCGAGCGTTTCGAGGAATCGCATGCAGATATGTATTCCTCGGAGATCCTCCTGCACTCGAGATGCAATACCGAACTTCTTTGAACCCCAAACTCCGAGGAACAACATCATACCGGCTTCATACACAGGTTTCTAGATCGGACATAAGCATGGGGTATCCTTCAATTGCGAAGTGGAAAACTCACTTCCAGGAGCGGCAAGAGTCTTCCTGGAAAGCGTTGTTGTACGCAGTCGATGATACGAGCGATGTCGCGCGCAGCTCTGAGGCATATGGAAAGGAAGGGCAGGCCAAGCTCGGCCACGACATGCGCCGGCACGTCTGGACGCGGCGTTATGAACGGTCGATGAAGTATGATGCTGCCGTCGTAGTGCCATACCCAAAGGTGAGCGGCCTGAAGGAAGAATATGTCGTTCTCCTGTTCAGGATTCCAGCGCACTACGAATCAGTCAGCAGCGAGTGCGGGTAATAGCGGTGAGTGCAACATACCGTGTGGAGGGACGGAGTCCGCCCATACTGTATGCCTAGAGTCCAGTTCCGCGATGGTATCCCTTTCCCACCCTTCCGCGGGCGTCTTGAGTGATGCGCGGCCTTTCGCACCGGCGAACTAGAATCTCTCCATCAGAACGACTTGACGCCAGACATGGTGAAGGTTAACTCACAAGAACATTCATGCCAGGGCCGGAGGCTTGGGTAAGCTCTATGAGGCTTACGAAATAGTCCATGCGAGAGGGACGACCCTCGGGTTGTTTGAACGCAAGAGCGGGGTCAGTGGGCTCCCAGTACTCGTCGTCACATGCGATAGGGTAGGGACAATCGATCCTGTTGGACGTGAGCACAGCACATCGAGACATGTAGGACTAATCCCTCACTCTTCGTCCCTCATCGCATAAGGTCGGGCCATCATGACGCTCAGGGTCCTATCTAACATGACAAGGGTCCTGCATCTTCTTGAGCATGGTGCATCACGTCCTGCACCAAGTTCAAGACGAACCAGAATGCTCGTTTGAACTGTTCATCCTGCGCATTGGGTGTGGTACTGTACGCTTTCTTCTTGTGTGCCCCAACATCCTGAGCGAGGCTTATGCCATGGCGACACCAGATCCAAGACGACTGCATTGAAGAGCAGCTCATGAGATACATGATCGAAAGCTGCCTTTCAAACTTCAGCCCTTATGCTCAGAGAGGAGGGACCCGCGACGTACGCAAGTACACTGCAGATTGTACAAACGCGACGTGCCATTGTGAAAGGACGACTGCCCGCGAACCTGATTGAACCAGTACCAGCCGGCAGACCGAGAGTCTCCCCCTGGTAGTAACACGCGCGGGTCATCACAATGCCGTGCCGCATTGGCGCATAGAAATAGCACAATGAACCCGAACGCCCAGTCGGTGTGATGGAGACCCGACGAGAGGGTCCTCATGAAGGTTGGCTGGTGCAAAACTGGAAAGATGGGATTGACATGTTCGAAGTAGATCTTGACAAGTTTGCTCAGAAGATCTGGAGGGGGAAAGTCCATCACCGGTCGGGCATTCTCCAGCTCCCACTGCGTCATATTCGTTGATCAGTTACGTATTGAAGTACAGACCGTTGACTCACAGAGTTGAACCTCCAAAACTGCGGCCTTCCGAAGCGTGCAAGATCGTCCGTAGATAAGCGCGCTCCCGTGAGTTCGAAGGTGAGATTCAGAGCGTTGTGTACGAGACTGGCACTGGAGAACGGGCCATGATAAGCACCGAGAGTCAATTGTTGGAACTCGTCGGTCAGTTCGCGTAGTTTGGACGTCTGGTCGTTCTCGTCGATGTCGGCAGGCTCCTCTGCTTTGATCCCCGTATCACTGGCAGGAGATCCTTTTGCTGAGACGAACGCACTCGGCGTCTGCAGTGGGTCTGGTGACGCATCGTTGCCACTGAGGAAGTCCTCCTGCGGCCAGTTCTCTTCTGTAAGAGGCGCGCTCAACTTCTTCGTAAGTTCCTCATGAGGGCAAAGCTGGAATAGAGGTCGTCAGTCGAGATGTGGTCGCCGATCGGGCGATGCGATCACACCTCTTGGAGAGCGCGTTGCAGGCGTGCAACTCTGTTCTCCAGCGCCCTTACATATCTAAGCGCCTAGAATGAGTACGTTGAGCCTACACGCAGGGACCTGCGTACTCACCCTACTTGAAACTTCTGCATCGCATGTAGATATTCACACGCCCATCCATTCTGATCACAGGAATTACATTTCGGGCCACCAAGACGGCCGTCGCCTGCCGTGGCTTGTCAGCGAGCACATCTGCACGACAGCGAGGTTCCGACGTACACTTCATCTTGCGCTTTCGACACCGATCGCACGCTGACGCCCGCCGTCAAGAAGATCCATTCAAGAGCAAGCCTGTATATCCTCACCCAGACCGACGCGCGGTATGCGCCGTTTCTTCGCGGCGGACGGTTGTGTCGAGCCTTGATTCTCAGCCTCCGAGGATGACATGATGTGATGGGACAGCGAGGAGTTCAGCTAGGCAGGCGAAAGGGACAGCAGAGCGAGGATAGCGTGACAAGCAGAGCGACGAGGAACTTCGCGAGAAGTGCGTGGAGAGGAGACGAAAGCGATGTTCAGTAATGTACAGACAGCAGAAATAGGCACAGTCACTGGGATGTACAGCAGCAGGTTTTGGTGGAAGACGACGTGGAGGTCCTTATTATAGTGTCGCCATGTCGTGGTTCGAAGAAGAGTCAACGGAAAGCGGTGCCGACCCGGAAACGAAACACTTGGCCAGATGTTCACGCTCTGTTAGGAAGCCCGTCGCCGCCGCAGACCAATTGACCTTTTACGAGCGTCTCTGGCGCTCTCTTTCTGGTCTCGTAGCCATCGTGGGCGTTGGTGGAAGCGTTCAACCGCCTAAGTTACTTGGCCTTGCGGCATTGACACCATGTTGGTCTGGCGTCGGAGGCTTCGGACCGTTGATCTCTCTCCAGAACACGGTGGCGTGACTTCTCTCGATTATTCGATCACCTACGGTGGCTCAGACGGGACACCTATGTTGGGCCTGGGAGGGCCGACTGGCGCGTATAAAGCCCTGTCTATGGGTCTCTTATCGTTGCTGCTCAGTTTCCTCTCTAGCTATACTCATTTCGGCTCTAGTACTGCTCACACTACGCTATCCGTTAGCATTCCGGTGGTGGCTCTGATCGGGTTCCGTTCTAAATTTAGTCGTCCCACACGATGGCCTTACCCTGCAGGAAGATGCGCTGCCTCTTGGCGCGCAGAAGGGAGTACTTGAGTAGCGAGTGGATTCCGATCGATGTTCTAACCGATGATATTGTAGGTACGGGACGTTACACTACGCGAGCAAGGTAGACGAGAACGGCGATGACATACTGATTGCCACTTCTGCGTCTAGTGAGCCCTAACACAGCGTATTCGCCCTATAGTTTGTGTCATGGCCTTGTTCCTGTGCATCAGTATGAACTCTGTCTGTGTGGCACGGCGGAGAGTGGCTTGAAGTACAACCCTCGAAACGTTAGCGAGACGCCGATGTAAGGGAGGCTGCAACTAAGTGGCACCATGCCCGTAACGGGAAGATCCTAAATGTGCGATCAGTCCTGCATGACTTAGCTGGTGGCAGGAGAAGACGAGCGCGATTCCGAGGCCCGAAGTGGCATACAATAGTGACGCCGTAGAAGAACGTGGAAGGGCGGGCACGTTCGTCGAGCGTGTGGTCAATTTCATGTTTCGGGGAATGCATTGTCCGCGTCGATAGATCTGTCCGCTGGGCACGGCCTCGGGAGGATGAGCGGAAGCAGCCGCGCTAAGCGGAGATGATGATGATTCGAGACCAGGTGCGCTCGCGTGTGTCGCGGCGATGCTACGCTAACGCTAACCCTAATCTAGATACGCCGAGTCTACTCTCTCCCTGTCCCCGCCGTCTCCCCGCCGGACCCTACTCCACCGCGGGTAGTTAGGCGTGACCAGCTAGCCCGTGGCCGTTGAAGATTGGTGCCTGCGGGGATGTGGGCGTAGCCATTTTCTGATCAAAATCGAACACATATCAGTGACTTCCACTTTCAAGTGCGCAGCCTGCACCATGCTGATCGCCTTCTCATATGGTAGATATATCTACGGACATGGAAAAGGTGTTCCCCATTGGGGACAAGATAGAAGAGTTTGAGTGACATGTCGGTCGTGGGCAAGCGGCGTTACCGAACGAACGCGCTTGGAAACTGTGACGACGTCTTGAACACGCAGTCGTAACTAGTCGGATCTTTCGCGCGAATCAGCGCGCGCTCGCCTCAGCACCAAACGAGAAGGCTTAGGGGTCTCCCCGATATGCGCGCATGCACGAATCTATTTAAGGCGACTCCTTTGCCGCTCGGAAGGAGAGGTATGTACTTCGTATATACTTCATAAGATCTAGGACTAGACGTCGATTCGCGGCGGTCTGCAAGAGACAAAAAGGACCAATGGCGTCACACTGCATTAAGGGGGAATCGAACCCCCGGCGGGTCGATGGCAACGACCCAGGTTACCACTACCCCATTAATGCGTTACCATTATTGTCCTTATAATGTGTATAATCTACGCAGCCCTGCTTGGACCTGCATCCGCCCACATCGTATCCCCACCATTCCCGCGAAGATAGCCTGACGCAGCCTCGACACACCTAGATACGCGCAACGCGGCCGTACCGTGTGCACTGTATAGGCTGTGACAGCCACAAGACCCCCGGCAGAAGTCGGATGCAGGTGGCCGGATACACGCACAGAAGGCGCGGCGAGAGGTTGTATGAAGTCTCGCATGAGAGCCAGGCGTTGCACGGACGACGGGCGCAAGTCGAAAGCGAAGCAGACGCCGAGCGCTGAAACGTCAAGACGCCAAACAAGCTCTGCCTTGGGTACGTTGCTAGTGTACGATCCGGGATGGTCGCAAACGAGGAGGGCGAAGCATCAAGAGATGGTCGAATGAATGGGTGCGCGCTTGGCCTTGAGATATATTCGGTCAGATGGCGCGTCATGAGAGATGTTGTGTGGCAATGTGTGCGGCGGGCGAGAGGTGATCGGGGCGCTCGGCTCGGTGATGCGGTCTAAGAAGCGAACGAGGTCGAGGAGCGCGCAGTGATAGGTTAACGGTTGCATGCGTGCCCTCGGAGAAAGACACGGGAAGGGAAGGACGGACATGTGTGTACTCGGTGCGGGTGCAGAGGGAGAAATCGAAGGGCGAGGCATGTTCAGAAGCGTAGATAACGAGAGAGTAGGTAGGAGAGTCGTTGTTTGAAGCGCAGCGGACGATTGGAACGTCAGAAAACACGCCCGATGCAGGAATGACGACAGGGGCGGTGGAAATGCAATTCGGACGTGGTACGGGTTCATAGTGATTTATGGCCGCAAGTGCCGTCTTGGGCGAGCGTGTTTCCTTATTCTGCGACTCTCAACACTGCCGGAGTAACTCTAGCAACTCTGCCTTCCCTCGTGTGCGGGACGGTGGTGGTTCTTGTGAGAGAGTGCATATGGGCCTGTTCTCAACCTTGCGGCGCAACCAGACGCACCGGTCGCGCGTCTCTGTTTCCACCTTTTCCTCCTACGAGCACGTCGAGACGCCGCGCGAGTCTCCCTCGCTCCCGAACGAGGCTCCGACCCCGACCCCCAAACGCAGCACCATGTTCCGCCGCAAAAAGCAGTCGGCGCCCCCCTCGTCGGCAACCGAGAACGGCCATCTGGCTGTCCCGCCGCCCCGGAGCGCGGCCAGCGTCTCGGACATAGGCGACGACGACGCACTCAGCCCGCCGCCCCCTCGGTCCGCCCTGTTCGGCGGCAGCACGCAGTCACTGCCCGACGCAGGGCACGGCCCTCGGCCCGGACTGCACGAGACGCTGAGCACGCCGGACGTGAAGCAGAAGAAGGGTTTATTCTCCTGGGCGCGCTCGAACAAACATGCGACCTCGCCCAAGCCGCCGCCCGTGCCGCCCATGCCGGCCAGCGCGCCTCCCAGCTCGCGCAACCCGAAGCTGGCCAGCCCAGAGGACGAGCGCGGCGCAGATGGATTCAGTCTGCGCGCTTTCCGGCACGTTACTTCGACTTCGCCCGGCGCCTCGCCCGTCGAGCCACCTCCAAGGGCGCCCAGCGCGTTGAGCTCTTACACCGATCTGCCGCCTCCGCGACCTCGACCACGTGGTACGAGTACAGCCAGCGATGCGAGCCAGCGCGTCAGCGTCGCCGCCTTCCGCGAGATGCAGGCCAGGCGAAGCGCGGCTGGCAGCCCGACGCCCAGCGCGAGCCCGCGTATGCCCGCGAGGAGAGGCACTGCAGAGCCTGTTCCGCCGCTCGGCCGCAGCGAGCTAAGGCCACCCGTGCCGAGCGCTTACAGCACCACATCAATGTACTCTGCATCAGGCTCGGCCTCGGGTTCCTCGCCCAATATTTCTCGGCAACAGAAGCCTCAACCGCAACCTCGGGGCTCTATGTTTGATCAGGCGAATGATACGTCTAGTGAGAGCGAGGACGAGGAAGAGGAGAGTGGCGAGGATGAGCCGACGCTCAGGCCTACTAGACGAAATACTATCCGAGGGAAGGGTAGACAAGGGCAAGGGGAGTTGGGGGTCAGGATGCAGCCGCCTAGGGCACCGGCGCTGCAGAACACTGGGAGGAGTGCGAGTGCCGGCTCTGTCTCTGCTTCACCTGCAAGAGGCGGCCGCAATCCTAGCGGCGGACTGGGTATGAGCATCGCTGGTTCGTATTTCATGTCGCTTGTCTTTCGGGACATTGCTCATTGACTTTCACTTCGCACAGCCTCACGATCACGAACGACGCTCGCCTCGTCCTCAGACTCGGACTCGGACGATGATGCGCCACTCGCGCAGTTTATGATACCACCGCGCTCGCGGGCCGGTTCTGCCGCATCAGGGCGCTTCCCGATGCCACCCAAACCTCTCGTTGATCTTGGAGGGCTCAAGCCTCCCTCATCCACAAGTCTCGTCAATGTTGCTGATGGGTCCAGCAATTCGAACGCTGCCGGGAGGATACCACCTGTACCCAGACGAACGCTTGACATGTCTGAGCTCGAATCCAGTTCGAGTGGGCATGGGATGAGCCGAGTCCCCCAACCGACACGCGCGGCTACACTTGGCGTGGAGATCGGTGTCGACAGCGCATTTTCACCGCCCTCGCCTGCTCTGGACAACCTCGCGGCGAGCCTGTCGCCCGCAGGATCAGTCTCACCTCAAGCGCCGGGATCGGGCGCTTCGCCATCTATGGGCGCCAATCTATCATCAAGCACGACGACGACACCTTCTATTCCGCCCACAAGCGCCGTCGGCACGAGCGCTTCTCCCGCCGCTGCCGCATCGCCTAATGCATCGGCGGAGCCGCCGGCCCGCGGTCGTGCGAGGAGCGCGTCGCTTGGGCTGGGGCTTGCGGAGCGGTTGAGCCAGCTTACGGCGGGTCTTGGGCGGTCGCCGTCGCCGGGTCCGAATCGTGCGGTGTCGCCTGGACCTATACGTGGGATGTCGCCTGGGCCTGGGCAAGCGGTATCTCCAAATCCATCTGCGGGACTCGTGTCGCCCACACCGTCCACTGGGCTTGCGTCTCCGCCGCCCGTACCCGCACTGGAACCTGCACCGTCGAACAACTCAATGTCTTCCGATGGGCCCGGACAGACTACGTCTCGGCATACCCGCAACGCTGCTGATCACGAAGCGAGCCATAGACCGAGTCCGATGCTCAACCTTCCGCCTCCCAGGGAGAGCAGTCTCGCGCCCTTACCGAACACCGTCACTGCAAAGTTGGGCGTGAACAGCGCGAGCTCTACCCCTTCTGCGCCGGTATACAGCGCTACCTCGTCGTTCAAGAACCGTACTGTCTCCAATGGGAACGAGTCTGATTCAGACGAGGAGAGCGACGATGAGAAGGAGAAGGAGCTTTCGGCGTCGCCTGAACCGCCCATCATTCCCGTCCCGGTCAAAGAGCGTCCGCGCGGTCCTCCCTCGTTTGCTGTTACCTCGCGACCGGGCCATGGACGGAGCTCGAGTGTTGGGACTGTCGGCTCTGGATCCGGATCCGTGGACTGGAATGGGCACGGACACGGGAGGAGCGAGAGTCAGGCTACTGTCACTGTCGGTGGTGCTAGCAGTCCGACGCCGAGTACGGTCAGGATGGTCGGTGCGACGAGGAGGGGTAAGGAGGAGGAGTTGCCTGCGCCCAGACCCAGCCCGGCGAGGAAGACGCCTACGAGGAGTATGACGGCCGAGCAGCAGCGGTTACCGCCCGCCGGACCTATCTCGCTACCCTCTTCATCATCCTCGTCGATCCAGCTTAACAAAGTTGCGCCTTCGTCGTCGTCCTCTTCCGCGCATACAAAGACTGCCCGACCGGCTCTACCAACGTCTTTCACCAAGTCCTCTGCGTCGTCGATCTCCCATTCGTCCTCGATGGCTAAATCACCCGTTTCGACCGTGTCGAGCTCAAGGTTCCACGACTCGAGCGTCATCTCCAGTGCCGCGAGCAGTGCGACGGCCAGCACGTCCAGCGGGAGCACGGGTGCCAGTCCATATGGCGGGATCCTCAAGAACTCTGCTACGCGCTCGCCGCAGAACACGAGCCAACCTCCGCGTCCGTGGGCGAGGGACGATTCGCCGTCGAGCTCTACAGGTGGCTCGTCTAGCTCGCGCGCACCGGCTACACCGAGAGATGGGAGCGAGCTTGGTGTTCCTATGCATGGGTCGTCGTTACTTGGTGGAGGACGGGCGAAGCATAAGAGGCAGAGCGTTAGCTTTGGCGATGCGGAGCAGGTTCGGGGGTTGGGGATGGAGAGGGAGAAGAGCGGGCAGGATGAGGAGGAGAGGAGGAGGAAGGAGCGGAGGAGGGGTGAGGCGAGGGCTGCTATCGAGGTTCGTTCTTCCTCTTTTCCCTATAACGTGACATGCAGAATCCTGATTCGTATGGAATGGTCGTGTAGCTCGGCAACGTCATGAATGGTAAAGCCCCCGTCGCACAAGACGACGACGACGACGCGCCGCTCAACGCTGCCCCGCTCTTCCCGCACGCAACAGGTCCGGCGGGCATGGGCATGTACCCCGGCATGCCAGGCATGCAAGGTATGCAGATGCCCGGCATGATGCCGAACATGACCGGGATGCCGCCTATGCCGCCCATGCCGAATGGCATGATGGGTATGCAGGGTATGCAGGGCATGAACGGTATGATGGGGATGCAAGACCCCAACATGCTCGCCGCGCACCAACACGCCATGCTCATCGCCAAACAAACGTACCAGTGGGCCGTCGCGCAGCAGGCCATGGCCGCCGCGGGCGACGAGTGGGAGCGGTCGGGCGGGAGCGTCGCGGGGTGGAATCCGTCGAGTGCGAGCGCGTACGGCGGGGGCGCGGAGAGCGTCGTGGGCTTTCCCAGTAGCGCGAGTGTCGCGGGGTTCCCGGCGAGCGGGCGGGCGCCGAGTATGTTTATGGGCCAGGGGATGGGTATGGGCGGGCCGATGGGGATGGGGATGAACCCTATGATGATGGGCTCGGGAGGGAGCGTTGTGGGCGGGATGGGAGGAGGGCCGTGGGGATACATGGGCTCGGCGCAGAGCATGTACGCCGGCTCCACGTACGCGCCGTCTGAAGTCGGCGGACCGGCGCAACGCCCGAACTTCTCGAGCTCGAGGAGCGAGTATGGAGGGGGCGAGCGGTCGAGCAGGGCGTTTGCGGGTGGGAGGCCGCCGCCGGTGCCTGCTATGCCGAATGGGATGCAGCAGGGGCAGGGGCAGCGGGGCGGGCCGAGGCAGAGGACGTTGACGGCGCCTGGGGGGCAGAGCGCGCCGGGGGTCGGGGCGGGCGGTAAGGCGAAGAAGAGCGGGGGCGGGCCGACGTTGTTGGGACATGTTGCGCCGCCGAGTAGTTGGAAGGGTCCGGCTTGAGCTTGATGAGGTTGAGAGGTTGATTCATGCTGCATGTTATCTTGTTTCTTTTGTGTTTCTCTGTGTCGTCCGTCTGTTTTCGCGAACTTTATACTCATCATTCGCAATTTGGAACTCTCATTATAGGACTGTCCATATTCACTTACCCCCTCCCCAATCCACTCTCGTTTTCGGTACTTGTGCATATCTATTACACCCCACCCATCCCATTGACGTCTCGCGCTTTCTTGGCTGTACTCTTAGACTATATCCCCACCAGTGTCCGACTCGTTCTCTCGCGTATCTGGACTCGCAGGATCCGCTCGTCTGTCGTTTACCGTACATTTTAATCTACCCCGTCTTTACGAATGACTTACATTCGTTTCCCATACCTTTGATCTGGTACCGGCATCGTGAAATCAAGACTCGAATGTTTACTCTGGATTAGAACATACAAAGACTCTATCTATATCTTAAAGAGGTGAACTGACAAGCATTAATGGGGTAGTGGTAACCTGGGTCGTTGCCATCGACCCGCCGGGGGTTCGATTCCCCCTTAATGCAGTGTGTAGACAGATTCGATGTTTTTTTGGTCTCGCTGGTCTAGCGGCGTGCTTATATATGGCGACTCAAGCTGGTGTGCGCTATCTAGACGCTCGCCGACCAATGACCGGTCGTCGTGTTCCTGATTTAAGTCACGAGACCGCGTTTCGACCCCTTTTCACGCGCGAGTCAGTGCGAGGCGCGTATCGACGCGACGCGCTGATCGTTCTTGTCCCCAGCCGTCACCGCCCGGTGAGATTCACGGCATCTGGGTTTGCCTAGCCGCAGCCTGCAGAACGATAGCTCCTTTGAGGGCATCACGACGGTTGACGCCTACGAATCCTTCCGAGAGCTTTACTAAGCGACTCCAAGACGCGACGCGTGGCCCGGAACACCGAACTGTATACATAGTGACTCTGTAGACCCCTTGTCTTACTCGTACCACCACCAGAGAGAATTGTGCATCTGGGTTTACTTCCGCTTCAGCATCAATACCCCTCCAGAGTCTCATCTCGCAGGGTTATTCCAGCTGGATCTGTGGACTGTACCTGGACTCTGGCTATTGTACTTCCACCTGTCGGATCTCGTACTACGCGACAACTGAGAACCTACTATGTCTTCTTCTGAGGCGGAGACCAACTCCAAACCCCGTCCGAACAAGAAACAGCGTGTTCCGAAGGTCGGGATTGGTAAGCCATTCCGGTCCTTGTTGGCCTAGCCAGTGCTGAACGGGGTAACGATAGCCTGTGATCGATGTAGAAGACGGAAGATCCAGTGTAAGTTCATCCTCTTATCTCTGTCCTGTGAGGTGAACTGACGCTCAAGTAGGCGACGGTCGCCTTGGTGGCGAAAAATGCCGCTATTGTACTCAGAATGGTTGGGCGTGCGAGTATCTACACGCTAAGGGCAAGTACCAGGTGGGGTGCGTTGACCTCCATATGGATCTGTGTCTGCTTGTGCCATCTGACGCTGCGTTCCAGATACGTCAGGGCGCTAGAGAACAAGATTAAGCGCTTCTATCGGCTCATACAACGAGTAAGTATGGTGCCATTTGCGGAGGCGAGCGAGACAATGACGCTTGTCGTGTTGTAGTTACATCCCGAAGAGGACTTCTCCGCTGAGGTCGGGAAGCCGTTGAACGAGGAGAACTGGTCACAGGAAGGCCATCTGAGCGATATCGAACTCAGTCCGCAGGGAGACTCGCCAGAGACAGACTTCAGCGCTCCGAGCGCGTTTGTTGCTTCCGACACACCGACCTTCTCTCTCACTTTCCCATTCAAGGAGCCCGAGATCAAGATTGAAGACGAATCGGACATCGAGGACGAGCACTCGTCAAAGCTGCGCGATCTGTCGGACGATTTCAGTCAGCTTACACTGGGTGCATATCAAGGACGACATTCGAACGTGGGCCTCATCCGTAGTGCCTTGAACATCACATTCGAGCTTACAGGATGCCGCCTATCCCTAATCGACCTCGCACGCTTCGGGAGATCAGCCTTCTGGCAATACAGCCCAGTACGTGGATTCACATGGTTCAAAAGAAGTGGCATACCGATGCTTGGCACAGTGGGACTGTACCACACCTAAGCAATTCGTGCTCGACTTCCCGCCTCCCGATCTGCTCGAGACTCTTGTTGCGCTCTACTTTGATCACCAGAATGCAGTGTTACCAGTGCTCCACCGGCCGACATTTATGCGCCTCCTTTCCAAGGGTATTCACAATGTCAATTTCTCGTTCGGGTGCCTTGTCCTGTCAGCGTGTGCGAACGGTGCGCGCTACAGCAACGACCCGCGAGTATTCCTTCCCGGCGCCGGCCCTCAGTCGGCAGGATGGCACTGGTTCACTCAAGTGCGCGGTTACTCGGCGTTGCATAACGGTTCTTCGCGGCTCTTCGACCTACAATGTATCTGTGTACGTCCAATTCTCTTCCCTTATCAATCACTGACTGACCGAGAGTCCAGCTCACTACGATGTATCTCATGGGTGCTGCCGCTACGCAAGCGAGCTGGGTGTGGTGTGGCCACGGGATACGCCTTGCGCAGGATATCGGCGCACATAAGAAGAAGACGTACGACGCACTGCCTTCGGCGGAGGACGAGCAGTACAAGCGTGTGTTTTGGTGCGTCTCTTGACGCCACCACCCGTACAATCTTGACTCAATAACGATAGGATTCTCACTCTCCTCGACAAGCATCTCAGCATCATGATGGCTCGGCCGTATGCCGCCAATGATGCAGAGTACGTCAATGCTCTTGCGTGGCGGTATTGTGACTGATTCTTCACAGTTTGGATCTCGAATTGCCAACACCAGTTGACGATGAATATTGGGAGCTTCCCGGACCTTCACTGTCACTCAAGCAGCCCGAAGGCAAACCTTCGCGAATAGACCTTGCCATTTACTATATCAAGCTATATCAAGCGATAGCGCCTGGTCTATGCCTTATCGTTGAGTCTACATCTGGCGAACCCCTCGGTCTCTCATTCTGACAGGCATCCAGTTCTCAGGCGCGAAGAACCGGGCGATGTTTGGAGCGCTCAATGGCATGTGGGAGCGACCGACCGTCGCGAACCTCGACTCGCGTCTGACCATCTGGGCAGAAAGCGTCCCTAAACACTGTACGTCATCCTGGTTGATACAAGTCTGTATGTTAGCTCACAACAGGTGAAGTGCGATGGGACCAGGAAGGCCAGGAGGACATATTCTTAATACAAGCGGCGCATCTTTGGACGCGATATCACGAGTTGCAGATCATTTTGCACCGTCCATTCATCAATCCTCGTCCAAGTACACCGAAGGAAGTTGCGGCGGAGCTTGGCTTCCCATCTCTAGCGATATGCCTCAGCGCTGCACGGTCCATCGTCCGCATCATCGACTGTGTCCATCGGCGTTTCCCAGGCCAACTATTCCCCTTCTTGCACGTGCGTTGGCTTCAGTTCAGTCGGTTTTACAACCCTGATGGTATCTGCAGGACTCGGCTTTCTTGGCGGGTATGATGCTGTTCCTCGGAATCTGGGGTTCGAGGAAGTTCGGGGTGGCGTCAAGGACCGAAGAGGATCTGCAAGGTATACGCACTTGTGAGCGTTTCTTGGAAACGCTCGAGCTGCGCATGCATCCCGCTGGCCGCCACCGGTATGTCCATCATACAACCGTCATGCAATAGTACTTCATGCTCAATCCGTCACAGAGATGTAATGAATGCGCTCCTTTCATTTGTCGATGCGCCTCCCCAAGCCGGTGCTCGTGGACACAAACGGACGCACGAAGAAACGCAGGCGCAACAGGTGCCCACAGCAAACTCGGAAGCAATCCTCGCCTCTGTTGACGACTGGTTTGCGGGCACGCAGTACGAAACGGCACGGCCCTCGACGCAATTAAACCCCTTCCAAGTCAACGGTTCCACGAATGGTCTGGAAGATCCTTCATTATGGACTGCCAGCGAGCTCAGAGCAACAGGGGCGCCGAATGCCCTGTTTGCTGCCCTAGGTTTCGGCGCCTCTGTCGATGAGCACATCCTGCCACTGGATGACTGGAACGTCAAAGGTGACGAGTTATTTGATGGGCAGATTGATCTTGCACGTTTATTCGGGGGAGGAGCTGGGACAGGGACTTAGATTCACGGCATCCCTTCGACGTACTGTATGCGTAGACATAGCTCGACCTGCTTGCTTAGGTTACTCAGATGATCTGCGAGGTCATTTTCCCAGTCAGTCAAACACACTAGCGACCAAGACTGGTTTATGATGGTCGCCTGCCAGTGTTACCGTGAATGAGAGCTTATTGAACGAGTCAGATTCCATGTAGAAGCACACTCTCAGGACTATCCACGAGGCTAAAGTTGCTACTTATGTATCCGACTCTGCGTGTACACAGAGCACACGATCAAGCTCGCTAGGGGGGTCGAGGCGATGAGTGGTGTGTGGCGCGTTCGAATTCGTGCGAAAGGGTTCGGCCGACTGACTGCTCGGATCATCCTGGACCACCACCACCTAACGCAGTTCGAGCTTATGAATCATACCATTGCTCCCTTTATATCGTGCTTGTGCTTGCGTGAATTATATCTGACAATGGCTGGGTACCTTCATGAGTCCCAGGCGCCTCGAGACAGGTTTTCAGGGACTATGTACTCACTGATCCTCCTAATAACTTGGGACAGTGCACTTCGTAGAACCATAATCCCGCGGTGTGTTCGCTACCCCTATGGCCTGGGAACCTCTTCTGACGTCTTTCTATAGCTGAGTACACGATACTCGGATACTGTATCGCGCTCAACGCCATCTGTCAATGTAGTATTGGGATGCAGTGGCACCGCGACGGGTTTCCCAAACAACCATTCACTCCATCCTTCACCTGCCTACGGAACGCGGTCTCGCCTCTTGGTCGCCCCTGAACGTGATAGGGCCTGAAACGACCCCACTACAGTACGTGGCTCTTGTCCACCGGTCCCGCAATGGATGGACCGACTAGATCTCGGCGGGGAGAACGTGCGGGTTTCGTCACGTTCGTCCATGGCGTTCTTGGTCTACGACTAGTGCTACCACCCGGTTCTCCCTGACCGTGCTCGATGATCACCGTATGACAAGGACATCCCTGAACGTGAACACGAGTCGAAGTATCGGAACTGCCACAAACTCTATGCGTCATCTACCAGCATGCTTCAGCGTCCCGCTTGCGGTTTGAGGCTTGCAACTAGGGTGACCCTCGGACATACCGCACCGGTACAACAGCACAGCCACTACTGCTTTCAGGGATGGGTTCTCGCGCCCGTTCTGGAGCGAGGCAGGGTATCTAGAATGAACACACTTTCATTGATCACGCGTCACGATTCGCTGCCGGGATGTCAACCAACTCAAGCGCTCAAGAGCGCCGAACAGCGCCTGCCGCCTTACCGTGTCCATGGACTCAAGCGCGGTACGCACTGTACTCACGTTTGTGGTTGCTGGTGGCTGACCATTGCAATCGATAGATATTCCCGCCACTGTTTCACTAGCAGGTACCCGCACAGCTCGTGTTTCGCCGGCAACGGGTGCAGAATCCCAGTGGCCTTCAGGCCCGAACTATGACTATGTCCTTTGCTCACGTTTCGAGAGACAGTATAAAACCTACGGTCCCAAAGCCTACACTACTCAGCGCCCGTTTCGCTTCGCTTCAACCGTCCTCAACTACTTCGAATATTCAATATGCTTTCCAACCGCTTCGCCCGCCTCCTCACTTGCGCCGCTGTGGTGCCACTCGCAATGGCCGCAGGTGAGCTAGACCCGGAGTTTACACATGTACTGCCTGTACTCATGGCCCCACGGCCGCGATCACAGAGCCCATCGAGTTCAACATCGGGTACAAGCTCTGGGGCTTCGCGCCTGTTGAATGCGAGGGCACGCCAGAGCAGACTGGCACGTTCTCGACGAACCAGTGCACCGACCTCACCGCCTACGCCGGCAAGTTCACGCTCGAGATACCCAGTATGTACCTTTACGATCGTAGTCTTCGGTGGCACCATCTAACATGTTACTAGATGAGGACTGCACGCTGCACTTCTGGAACCTGACCGGTTGTGACGGCGGCGAAGGCGCCCCGATTTCGCTCGTCGGCGAGAAGGAGACGGGATGCGAGTCGCTCGCTGTGCTTGGTCCTGCGTTCGAGGCGCCCGGGAACCCGCCGCGTGAGGTCGCTCATTCGTTGAAGGTTACCTGCCCGAACACATCGAAGTGAGATCGAGGTTGACGCGTTGACGCGCACGTCGTGTCGGTACCATGGCAACCTGTACTAGGTGATCGTTCAACCATACTTGTATCTTGATGTAATGTACCGAAAGGTGCTATCTCATACGACTGTTATCTTTCTGCGAGGTCTCAAATTTCGAGAAGAGGTAGACGGCAAAGACGAGCTGAGTTTAGGGTCAGCGTGCGAATGGCGGAATCCGGCCCGAACAGCTAAACCATCGACGCCCTAAGGCTACGGAACTCGTTCCAAACTACCACGACCCACGACCTGCGGGTCTTCGTCCTCTTTACTTAGCTCAAGCTCTTCCGCTACTACCATGAATATGAAAACACGCACTTTACCGAAAAGGCGACACAGAGGACAACCGGCTCGATTCATTTGTACGTTCGACGGCGACCTTGGAGGGCTGCCAGAGTGATGTCCGACGGAGCGCCCCATCGTCGTTGCCCCCAATACGAGTCTGATTAGGGTCGTTTGATACCCAAAGAGGATACAGACCTCTCGAGCACTCAGTGAGGATACTTCGGCGTCCCGCTCGCGCCTGGTCTCCACGACTCGTCATCGGCAGTGGAAGCTGGCAGGAATCCCAGAGCCTATCCGAGGCTAATACGCGACATCCACCACTGTCAGATACACTGTGTCTGGATCAAAATGCATAGAGACGCCGAGTGCACGAAATGGAGAAGCGATATGATCCCGCGTCACAACTGTAGACTCACTTGAGCGACGGCGAACAACCAGTTGGTTGATTACTAGTACTGCTAGCCGTGACCGGAACTTTAAATCATCACTTGTTGACAGATATCGATGCCTTGTGGCTCAGATGTATGCGATCGCAACTGTGTACCCAACTTTTGTCCAGTGCATCTTTGTTGGTACAGGTGCGGAACTTCAGAGCTCAAGGAAGCAATACACTGACGGCGCACTCCTGCTACTGCTTTGGGAGCGATATAAGACTACTTCCGCGGCATCCCCCTGCATCCAATAACTGGTCATGCAGTGCCCTTTCTTCACTGAACTGCCCTTTCTCCCATTGCGACAAGCCTTCACCATGTTGTTACAATCCATCGTGGGTCTTGTGTACGCGGGCGCGATCCCCGTCGCTTTAGCTGCAGGTAAATTGAAGTTCATCCATATGACTTCCAACTCGAGCTCATCGACTATACCGTAGCGGCGAATACCCCTGTCAGCTACAACGTCAGCTATGAAGCTTGGAACTTTGAACCTGTCGGTTGTGTGTTGGAGCCGGCGGCGACGGGCAACTTCACCGCGAACGAATGCGTCGACCTCAACATTTACTTCGGCAAGTTCACCCTCGACACCTCCGGTACGCGCATCTTGCCCGACGCTACCCACCACCATGCTCACACAATGCGCACAGATGAGCAGTGCACGCTCTCTTACTGGAACCAGACCGGATGCGAAGGACAACAGGGCTCCCCGATCGCGCTCATTGGCGAGCAAGAAACGGATTGCGAGCCGCTCGTTATCCTCCCTTCTCAGTTCTTCGGGGTCGGAAACCCTGCCAGGGAGACCGCGAAGTCTCTCAGAGTGGATTGTATGAGCACTTGATCGAAATATGGGACGTAAATGTAGGGTGCATGTGGTAGGATGTTGCGTCGCGACTCGACATAGCGACTGAATCTTACATAGCTAGGTTATAATATGCTATTTGTACAGTATGCCATGGATCGTCTCCGCTTCGATCGATCTATACGCCTGGACCTACTGGCTGTATGTGGTCAGTCCACACTGAGGTTCGGATAGGATTTCCCCCCAACAAGGCGTGTGATGATGGTGGATGACGATCGCGGAATTCCAGCGGGCGAAGAAGAGTGACGGCTACGGATCTGTTATCTCCTGGCCCGTAGAATCCCGTGCAATCACCACACACAGCAGAAGCACTCGAGCAGTCCCGTACTGGCATATACATACATCCGAGCTTGATGTTCTGAGGCAGGCTCTGCGAAGCTTAGCGCGAGAAAGAAGGAAGATGCCGCGTTTGGGAGCGCGCGTCCCGCAGCCGTGGACGTTGACGACGACGGGCGCTTCTTTGGGCTGAAGATTTTCACGAGACAGATGGGGGACAGCACTCGAGGCGAGGAGTGATGTAGATCTGGATGAATACATGGAAGGCGGCGGTTGATAAGAGAGCGGCCTGAGAAGGGATGACAGACGAAAGGAAGGGAGGTTGTTACCAAGCTGTACGAGGCACGAAATCGTTCGGTCGGTCGGTCGGAGCTCTAGACTCTCTGTACTCCAACCACCACCAGCCGCTGCTTTCAACTTGACCGACCGACCGAATTAAATATCACTTTCCCTCCCTGCTTGCTTCCGACCGACGAGAAGAGTTCATCCAGCCTCGAGGCCGCAACGCGTGGCGTACACGAGCCCTCGCCTCGCGTCGGTAGCCGAAACCAACGTCGATCCCGACTCTCCTTGCACTCCCATCTTCTGCTCCATCCTCGCCGTCTTTTATTCGGCGCATGCTCACGATCATCGCCCCGCGCCCGACGCCGCCCTCGCCCCACAAGCGCGTCCCGCACTCGGCACACCCCTCCTCCACCAATTTCGCCCGCTCCCCCGCCCGGCTGCACTCCCCGACACCCTCGGCCGCCACCGTCCTCGTCGACTCTGAAAGCGCGACAAACATGCCGAGCACGGCCGACAACGAGATGCGCCGCACGCGCGGACAGATTCTCCGTATGGATGCCCAGGATGGGCCCTGGGCCATCTCCGTCGCCGAGAACCCGCACGATGCCACATACACTTGCTACGTCAAGAGTGAGTCCGCTTTTCTTATTTGGGCGAGCTTTTACGTGCGCCGCGTCGTGGCACTGCCAAGCACGACGATAACTGGATGGAAGCCGTCGATGGAAGAAGCCTCTGTGGCGGGCTTCTGTGTCTGCTAAAGTGTTTCAAGTGCATGCACGGAGCTACGGCTCTGCGTATGCCATATGAACTGTGGACGCCGGAATCTACAATCCTGGTCGTGTGCATTATCATAGCACACTAACCAAGCGGCGTACGCTGGTTATCATTGCATGAATTGTCACCGACGCTATAGTCGCGACTCGCGTGCAGCGCACGCCTGTCAATTCCACCGCTATCGATTTCTTTTTACGTCTGCACCAGCCGCTCGCGGACTAAAGACGGTGTTGTCCTATAACCCGTCGCACCCGCAATTGCAGCATGGCATCTCCACCCAGCGCGCATCCTATGATGTAGCCATCATGTTCTATGTATATTCTGCTGTGTGATACCTCTGCACCCGAACATGACCGCTGACGTGCTTTTCATTCGCAGCGCCGACCCATAATCTCACGCTCACGCGCAGCGCGCGCGAGCTCGCCGAATTAGACGCCAAGCTGCGTGATGCGCCCGGTGCGCGCGTCCCAGCGCTGCCGCCGCTGCCGGCGGCACCCAAACGGAAGAGCGCCTTCCTCAATACCCTCTCGCGCCTCGCTTCTCCGGCACGTGCGCGCTCCCCGCCGCCGGCGTCGCGTTCGCCGAGTGTCGCCGCCACGCCGCGCCAAGAGACCGGCGATCCGTTCATGGCGTCGGGCCCGAATACCTCGACCGCGTCGTCCGTCCCGCCCTCTGACGCCGAATCCGACGACGAAGAGGCAGCTCCACCGTCACCCGCGGCGACGGGTCTCGCATCATACCTGACGACCGTCGCGAACGACCAACTTCTGCGCGCTTCGCGACCGTGGAAACGGTTCGTCCGCGTGCGCGCGGACGATCTCGCGAGCGTCAGGGTGGAGAGGGCCATCAAGCGCGTGAGGAGCGATCTGGCGGGACACAAGGGCATGCAGAGCGTCCATGCGCTCACGGAGCAGCCCAGCGCGCCGGACCTGCAGAGGCGCGAGAGCAGGTTCAAGGAGAACATTGATCGCGCGAGCACGGACTCGAGCGCCAAATCCGGCAACGACGTCATTGATGTCGAGATGGCGGGGCCGCCGGAGGACGAGGACGTCACGCTCGAAGGGCCAGTTGATGAGGCGCCTATGGACGAGGATGAGCCCGAACGCGCGCCCACGCCCCGCTCGCCGCTGCCTGTCGGCCAGCAGGAGCAGCCGATCCCGTCTACGCCTGGCACGGCCGTCCCGCCCGCACTCAAAGCGCCCATCCCGCGTCTGCCCAAGGATGAATCGCAGGATAGCGCGCCGTCTACGCCTGTCGCTGAGCATCCTGCCGCCCGCATTCCGCGCAGTATGAGTGCTGATCCGGACAAGGCCGCACGGATGTCTCGCCTTTTCGCGCCCTCGTCCGCGAGCGAGAGCAGCGCGGCTGGAACGGCGAGTGCGACGGAGACCGAAGACGACTCTGTATCGCTCGGCTCATCGAACGCCGTGCCGAAGAAGAAGAAAGTCAAAGGCCGCTCCAAATCCGTCGACCCCGCCAAGCTCAAGGCCAAAGCCGAGTCCAAGCGCAAAGTCAGCGTCGCGGACTTCGAGATGATGCGCGTGCTCGGCAAGGGCTGCGCGGGCAAGGTCCTGCTCGTCAAGTACCGCCGGCCCGAGGGCGGGCTGTTCGCGCTCAAGGCGATCACGAAGCGACATGTGCTCGCGCATCAGGAGCTACAGCATACGCTGACGGAGCAGGCCGTGCTGAGGCGGATGGCGGCGGAGGGCCGCGATCCGTTCGTCGTAAGGCTGCACTACTCGTTCCACGACCGCGAGAATCTGTTCCTCGTCATGGACTTCCATCCCGGCGGAGACCTCGCGACGCAGCTCGCGCGCTGGGGGAGGCTCGGACGCGATAGGGCGCGGTTCTATGCCGCGGAGATTGTCGAGGGTGTCGAGGGTTTGCATGCGGCCGGCGTCATATACCGCGATCTGAAGCCCGAGAACATCCTCATCGCCGCGGACGGACATATCGTGTTGACGGACTTTGGACTGTCGAAGGAGTTCCCACGCTCAAGGCCTGGCGCGCCGAACGGTACAAACGGCGCCGTCCCGCCCGTGCCGTACTGGATGACGGACGAAGGCGCCGCCCTCGGCGCACGCCAGACCGACCAGACCAGCACCTTCTGCGGTACGGCCGAGTACCTCGCGCCCGAGGTCATCCAGGGCCTGCCGTACTCGTACGAGGTCGACTGGTGGAGCTTCGGGACGATGCTGTACGAGATGTTGACGGGCATCACGCCGTTCTGGGCGGACAATCATAGCGATATGTATGTGAGGGTGTTGCAGGATGAGCTGCAGTTCCCGGATGATAGGGCGATGGATCAGGATACGAAGAGTTTGATTCGCGGGGTGTGTCATATATTCGTTTATCAGATCGGTGGGCGTGTACTGATGTTCGTGTTCAGCTTTTACAGCGGAATCCTGCGTTAAGGATTAGCGAGCCGAGGATCAAGCGTCACCCATACTTCTCGATGATGTACGTGTGCAACAGTTTCCTCGTTCTATATCGTTTTCTGACATCTATACAGTGACTGGTCCCACGTCTACTTCAAACGCTACATCCCTCCCTACATCCCTCCCATCGACCCCCAGAACGCATCCGACACCCAGAACTTCGACGACACCTTCCTCGACATGGAGCCCGTCATCAACGACGGTCTCGAAGACGAAGACGGTGGGGCTGGTACGGGAACCGGCACGGACACTGACGCCGAGAGCGCCGCGACGCCCAGCCAGAGCCGCTCTTCGAGCGCCGTGCGCCCTGCCGCAGACCAAGCGGACGACGACGTGTTCGATGGGTACTCGTTCAAGGGACGCCACAGTGTCATCATCGATGACGATGCTGAGGAGGAAGAGGAAGAGAGCGAAGAGGAGGACGAGGAAGAGGCGCAGGGCACGCGGGATATTCTCGCGCAGCTCAATGGCGAGAAGCCGGGAGAGGAAGAGCCGAAGACGCCTGAGGCAAGGAGGAGGGAGTTGCCTGAGCCCGTTGTGGAGGTTGAGGAGCCTACGGAGGAGCCCGCGACCCAGCCAGCTGCTACAGAGGAGGCTGCACCCGCTCCAGAAGAGCCGAAGACCGCCAAGATCGAGACGAAGGAGCCAGCACCGCGCAAGAGCGGTGATCGCCCGCCATTGGAACCGTCAAAGTCTACACTCGTCGTCGCGAAGGCCGCCGCACTCGCGTCCGCCGGACCAGACGTACACAAGAAGGAGATCAAAGCCGTCAAGCCTGGCCGCGCGCGCCGCGAGAAGTCCGGTGTGCCGGCTCTGGACGCCGATCTGCCCAGCGAGGCGGAGGACCGGGACGAGGAAGACGATGATTGGGACTTCTTGGACGATGCGGGCGGTGTTGGGTCGGGCAACCGTGTCGAGGAGCGTAATGGCGCGCGCGGGACGAGTTTGTTTGCACGGGGTGTCGTCGATCGGTACAGGCTCGCGGTGTTCAGGAAGGGCTCGACGCCTGGACGCAATGGGCATGGTCCAACGAGTGCGACGAGCGAGCATCCGCCTGCGAGTCTGGGTAGCCCTGCGCCGAAGGAGAAGGAGAAGTCGCGTGGGCGCGCTGGACTGCCGTTCCGCAGAATCCGTGCGAAGAGCCCGACGGCGCGCAAGGCGAGCGAGCCTGGTAGTCTGAGCCGACCTACGACGCCGAAGCTGTCGAACAAGACGAGCACGAGCCTCAGTATGCCAGGTTCGAGTACCGTCGGGAGCAGGAGAAGCGTGGCACACAGCGCGAGCGGGACACCCAGTACCGCCAGCCGTGCCGGCGCGAGCCGCGCAGGGACGGCCGAGCCCAGTCTTCGGAGCAAGATGAGCGAGACGAGCTTCAACGGCCCACCGAGTGGCTCGTCCGACGCGAGCCTTACAGAGGACGGCGCGACGGCGCATACGCCCGGAAGCGGCACGCTCAGTCCAACGGCCGAAGAGGGCGAGCTCGCCGACGAGGAGGTCGAGCCCGAGAAGCAGAAGAACAAGAAGCTGAAGAAGTACAAGGAGGGCGCGGAGAAGGTACTCTCGCTGTTCGCGTCGCCGAAACATCCAGCGCATCATCAGGCGCACCAGTAGAACCCCCTCTCCGATCGTCGTCGTCGTCGTCGTTGCTTAGCATGGATCACCGAATTGAACCGAACCGAACTACGTCTTCTGCCGTCTTGTATGCCTACACTCTCTCGCGCTCGTCAACTCATCTCATCGATGCCTCTCCTACCTACATACATCTTGCATTTTATTTCTCTTCCACTTTTCTTCTTTCGTCTTACCACTACACGAATGCTTGGACCCATTGATGACGCTTTTTCCCTCGAGCTCTTACTCGCTCGATTCGCTATGCACACCCATACTCTCCCTCGGCCCGGTTTCTTCCCCTTTTTCCTTGCGAGTACTACACACACCAAGATACAGGATACACAGATTTTTGTTTTCGCTCGTTCGGAGAGCGCGCCGCTCATTCCTTCTTCATTTCTTTCAGGTTGAGGATTCGCCCTCGTTGCTTTGCCATTTCTTTCTTCGAGCCGTTCATCACCCTTCTTTCTCGTTGCTGTCGTTGTTGCCCCGCTTTCGTTGAACGCTTCGCTTTGTTTGGGCTGTTGGGTGATATAGTCGCTCTTGGGCCGGGATACCCTGCTAATTACACCATCATTCGCCTCGCCCTCGTTAGAGCGCAGCAAGTTCGCATTACCCCTCAAGCTCTCGAAGCCGGGCGGCATATGTCATAGCTATGAATGTCAGGCAGAGATGGCTGTTGGAGCTGGAGGGTCGAGGGTCGAGCTCGGCGCGCATGGGTGCTCAGACACTAGTACTTCGACATCGTCTCCATACATTTGCCCTCTCGGACTGGTTCGGGCTGGTTTTAAGGCGATGACAATCCTAGTCGGATAACCACAACGACCTCAATCACCGCACAAAATCACTGAAGGCGGTTAAAAGAGTGGGCCGAAATTCATGAACAATTCATTGGCAATGTGATACTTCAAGACTTGGGAGAATATACACAGATAGTACAAGCAGTCGTGCGATCGGAACCATTCATAACATACTTGCTTGATCGATCGGCTAATCCTCTCTCTAAAGCGCGATGCGGTATCATCTAGAGCTCAAGGCGAGGTACACCATCTGTTCTGACAAGAAAGTCGATCAAGCGGTGCAAATACTCCTTTGCATCAGCAGCTCGCCTTGGGCCCATGAAGGCCTCGGCCCACGAACGAGGAGTGAAGTAGATCGTGACCATTGGGTTGGGTATGCGCGCTAACATTCCCCACGATATTGTGGGCACTATGGCGCGGAATCCGTCCAGGCACTGTCGAGCGGTCGGACGAGAGGCGGGATCGTCGGCGTACATGGCCTGTATCAAAGGTCGCATCGCAGCAATACACTGCCAAAGCAACGTTGAGACCACGATTGAAGTGTTATACAAAGTCACAGACCTTGTAAAGCCCCAAGTCTATGAATAGTTTCGCAAGGAGCCAGATGTCATATGGAAACGGATCATACATCCTGCCAGTCACCCCATTCCCGATGACATCTGTACTCCCAGCTACACGCACTTCTGGGGCGACAAAAGTACCTTTGCCTTTGTATGGTACAGCTGCACGTGCTTCGGCACTGTCGAATATTTGGCATGCACCGAAATCAATGTACACATAGCGCATCTTCGCACTCAAACGAGTGCACTCGGGGGGTGGATCATGTAAGGAATACGGGCGAGCATATCTCCCGATTTTCAACGGGTTAAACCCACGAGGATACAAGGGGCTCGGATCCATCAGTACGTTCAGGCATTTGATATCGCTGTTGTAGATGTGAGATTGCTTAGGTGGCCAAGGGCAACGGAATTAGTCAGCACTGACCCGTGAGCGATATTGAGGTCATGAAGAAAAGACAAACCCTAGACAACATCCAAGAGTTTGATTCAGTATCTCATATCCCACATATGCAAAGTATGGTCGCACCTCCAATAGCTGATCCACAAACGGGATGACCTCAGCTACGAGGTGAAGCGGGGGATCGAACCACGGGCGATACAACGGAAAAACGATGATTTGCAGACCAAAATCGTCAAGATCAATCTCTTCAAGCATCCGAAGGCAATGATTGTGGGGATGAGACGCAGCGGGTTCTGACGAGAGTAGGCGATTTGCGGTCAGTTCGTCCTCCTCCTTATCTGCGGATGATGGGACGAGAATCTTGAGAATGACCTGGCTCCCGTCCGCAATTCGAGTTGCGTCCATGACACGATGAGATTCGTCATTCTAGGCCGCATGATGACCTTCAGCACACATATCAGATGCTCGCTGATATATTCATACCGGGATGGCGTCCTCGAATTCGCTCTCCAGGTGGCGCTCAAGCACAGTGGCAAATTGAACCCCCTTCTCAGTCCAGGACGGTATCCAGCCCGGGCGATAGCGATCTCGTAACTGGTATCCCTGAGCGTGAAGCCTGTTGTACAATCTACGCCATGCTGTGGCCTCCCACTTCGTGAGTCCACCGGGTGGCTCTCCTTCGTTAAGTACATTGAGGCCCTCAGCCATATGAAGAAGCAGTAATCGAAATAATTTCTCTTGTCAGACAAAGGGCACAGCGCGATGAGCACGAGAATGTTCAGTGGATGGGGATGATGGTGGTCGTAGCTCGAAGTAAGTTCAAGTTTGGCTCCGGATCATGACCGCGAGAACAAACTCACGTCATATCGATCCATGAGCGCATGTGCGCGCGTGGTTCCAGCTCTCAGTCGCACTTCCATCTATGTCCATCCACCGATAGAGCTTCGGCCTTTACGATTCAGTTTAATTGCTATACTCCCATCCAAAAATATGGCACGGGTAACTGCAGTCAAAGACTGAGAGTTACTTGGTTCGGGGTTGTGCGAGTGTCAATTTTCGGCCCCCATCAAATTCAGCGGCGTCTTAACTCAATCCCGCCACTTCAAGTCCTTTCGTATTGGTAGTACCTG